TAAATATAAACTTAAACAAAAATAGAAATGTTGCATATAGGCAACTAACTGAAATAAATAGGTTCTAAAATTACTGGGGAAAAAAACTGAAATAAAAATAAACAAACTATATAGAAAAATGTATAAAATTGGCAAAAGCACATTAGAAAACTGCTAAAAAAGAAATGCTATCATATGACTTCAAAAGACTTGGAATATACTTAATGAGTCATTTGGACCACTTGCATGATACATTTATGATGCTTTTAGTCCCCACTTATTGTAATTAAATTAAAAAGAACAACTAGTCAATTCTTCATAAAGTCTTAGAGATTTAAAAGAACACGAGGGTGAATACATGATGACAGAATTGTCATTGTTTTGGGTGAACTGTCCCTTTAAGGTCCCACCCACCACAGAATCCTCTATTGGTCTGCTGCGCTTCATTCCCTCATCTCTGCAGAACCCTTCACGGACTCTGAATCTCTCAACATGAAAAGAGAAAAGTGATGAGACCCTGAAGTGGTATTTGGGTTCTCCTTTATAACTGTTGCTGGATTCATACACCAGTTTCACTTCACTTCCTCTCCCTCTCCTCCACCGCCTCTCATTCTATTCCATCAGCGAATAAAAAAGTTTGTCATTTATTTGTGCCATGCTAACAGCGGAAGTCTGCGGCCTAAGTTAATTCATTAGTTCCCTTGTTAGACACTCATTGTGTTTGCTAATTATGGGTTCTCTGTTTCCCTCCCTTTCTCCCTCCCTCTTTCTTCCACATCAGACAGAATTTGATTCTCCCCAAATGACTGTTATTTTCTGTCTCTGCTCTGAGTGTATGAGTGGTTTGTAGCAGCTGACGGTAATAACGGTTGAGTCAGGGTGTGGCGATCAGGTAGTTCGGCCTTTATAACAGCCCATCATAAGGTCTATTTCAAACTGTCTCCATGGAAACAGAGCAGGGAGGGTCTAATTCTGCATGGACTGTGTGATGACACAACTGTCCTGCTCGCTCTAGCTCTTCCTGGCCGTTTCTGCTCTATCTGGCTCCACAGTGAGAGTGAGTGGAGTGGGGGGTTGCTGGGATTTTGGGAATGAGTGCCATTGCAATGCAGTGAGAGCCCAAGCTAAAAATACCTATTGACACATAGACTCCAACAAACATGGTGAGCAGCAAACAGTCACACCACCCAAAAAACACATATGCACATGTAGAAAAATGCTTTAGAACATGAAAAAAGTGATATAAATCTACAATATTGTTCATTGGATCTGTAAAATCGTCTAAAATCGAGCTAATTCTGTCACACGTGGCTCATGGTGGTCCTGTGGTGGTATAAATTCAAATGCTGTTCGATGATAATAAATGATGTCAGTACTGTTGTGTGGCAGCATAATTTGGCCTCTCTGACTTGCCGTACTGAAAGCTGAGTTTAGATTCGGGCAGAAGACAGGACACCCAATACACTCCACTGCCAACGCCAGCACCCAACTCGGAAGCAGACTAGAGACAACTGCCTGCTCATAAATTACACTGTGTGTGTGTGTGTGTGTGTGTTCTTGAAGCAGTGAGGGTACTAAAAAAATTGAGGGGAAACTCCTATCTAAATATATACAGTAAACGATATAAATCATTTTAAAACTCAAAATCATGAGAAAATGTCAACATTTGTTTTTATAGTTGTGCGAGGTCAATCATGAGGCCAGTTTGTAGGCCACATGGAGGGCTAATTCACTAATTCCACTAAAGTCTGTTTCCATCTCGGAGGAAAAAAATAAAAAGGTAATGTTATTTTTATGTAATTTTGACTTAGTATCTATCAATGTGACTTTATATCTTGCAAACATTATTTCTTGTAAAGAGACTATTTCGCATAATTGTGACGTTGTGATATTATTACTCGTGTATGTAACTATTTTCACATCTCTAACAATTGTGACCATATTACTCAATGTGACTTTATATCAATTGCGAGTTTATTTCTCGTAATTGTGACTTTTTTGCAATTGTAACACTTTTTCTTGTAAATGCGGCTTCATATTGCTCACTGTGACTTTATATCATGCAACTACCAGTTTATTTCTCGTAATTGTAACGTATGTTTTGCAATTCCGTCATTATTTCTTGTACATACTTCTTTCGCAATTGAGACTTTATATCGCTCAATGTCACTTTACATCACACAATTGCAAGTTTATTTTTTGAAATTGTGACTAATATCTCAAATATCTAATTGTGAATTTATTTCTTATTTGAAACTTTATCTCATAATGATCATTTTATTTTATATAACAGAAACAAGCATCCATATGACTGTTTATGTTGTAGAACATGAAGTAATGTTAACAGACCTTATTTTATTCATAAACTGCAAACCAAAAAAAAAAAAAAAAATACATTTTACAATTCCATTCTCATAAGTGTAAAATAATTTATCGTGTGATCAAATATCCCTTGACTCATAAATATTGTGGAGCTACACGACCAGTGACATTCCTGGGATTGCTGTGCCAGTGTTTTCAGTTCCGTCTGCATTCCCAAGGAAGGTGATATAGAGGCTGTGAAGTCAAGAAGTTCAAAAGCCACCTTTGCACTTCTTTGCATTCAGGATTAAGCTGCATTTGTGTGTGTGTGTACTAAGGGATATTTAATCAATCAGACATCCTAACAGGGAAACGTATCCTTTCATGTGATGAGTGGTATAGCTTCCAGCTTCCAGAGTCTGCCAAAATTACCAGATGTCTGCAAAATGTGCAAATTAACATGCAAATTAACACCAATCAGATTAGAGATACAGTACTTGTCTGGTCTGATTAACCTCTGCGTGAACTATTGTGTTTACCTTGATTCACCTTGATAAGAACTCAAACTCTGTCTCAGTCAATACCAGACCCTTGATTAAAGCCAGTTTAATAGGACTAATTCATTCTTTGTTGATTAGTGGTTTAAAGGGTGTTACAGACTGGTTATGTACGTCATGTGAAAAGCAGGCTGCTCTACACTAATGCAACACATATGGACAGCACAAGCATGACCAACGACTCCTGTTAAAGACCACAGAATTTAATTTGGATAATTTATGAGGTCACGGTTGAGTGAAATATGAGAACAGTGTGGAGCTGACAGCGGTTACAAACAGGCAAATAGTTTTACACAATCTACAGGAAATTAGTGAGTTGTGTTTCTCTGTTTTACTGAGGGGAAAATTGTTTGTATTGGTTATTACGAGCAAATTATGATTGTGAGGCACTGTAACATATCCAAGTCACACCCTAAACCACAAGCCCGTTTTAATAGTTTTTCCCAGTTTAATGAAAAGGATTACAATGTAATCCACATGCCGGATTTTACATGACTTGTTTTTGATTGTGGTGGAATAATCAAATTCTATAGGAATGCTTCATTGTCTTCAGTGTTTACAGGTAATGATTAGTAATGTTGATCTGATGCAAGGCTCTGTGACCTGATGGCCAGTGATTGTCAAATGTTTTATTTCCTAAGTAAAGCGCATAATTAGTATCAATCAGAAGTGTGGACACACCTACTCAATCTTTATGATTACTATTTTTCACATTTTACAATAATAGTAATTTAAACTATGGAAAAACACTAATGAAAGCAGGGGGATAATGTAACGACCAGAAATTCTCAAGCAAATCTTAAATTCTGCTTCTTCAAAGCAGCTATTGCCTACTCTTTACTTTGATAACTTGTTTATGCCCCTCAGCCAAATGAGGTAACCACTTTTCCAACAGTTTTAGGGTAGGTTCACACAATACATGTGTTTGCGTTCCACTCCGCTGCTCTGTCTGTATTTTAATGTAAACATGAGCTAGATGCCCATATTTTACAGTTGCGTTGAGCATCGCTGCGTTTTCAGAGTCTCGCACAGGCGCGTCGTGTTTTTAAAGAGTTAGTTCTCCCAAAAATCCAAATTATGTCATTAATTACTCACCTCATGCCGTTACAAAACAGTAACACTTTCGTTCATCTTTGGTACTTTCTGTCCCTCCATTGACAGCCTACTCAACTACCACTTTCAAGCCCCAGAAAGGTAGTAAAGACATCATTAAAGTAATCCATGTTACTCCTGTGGTTTAACCTCAATTTTATGAAGAGACACGAGTGCTTTGTTTGCGCAAAAAAACAAACAAACATAATTTACCACTTTATTTACAAAATCTTAATCTACAACGCGAGTTCACAAGAGCACCACGACGCATGCGTGCTGTGTTGCCTAAACAGTGGATTGATTAGGGCCTACATTAAGAATTGCAAACAGTTTTCGTATTATACATTTTCTAAAATGTTATGTTTAAATATGCAAATGAGGCATTGTCTAATTAAATATGCCCTAATTTGCATTTCCAGAACAGATAGGCATATCTGAACATTGGATACAGGTTCAAAATGTAATTAATTTTGTTGACATATTAGAGTCTATTACACAGGGGAGAACTGATTATCTCTGTTTTATTACTGTCAACAGCCAGTAATTATTTTTCACCATGTAACCAGGCAGGTTATATATGAACAAAGCCCTCTGTAAAAACCTTCAGAACATAGATAGGAATAAAACCAGAGTTTGGTGTATGGAAGTGCTACTAAGGTGGCAATTTCTGGCTCGGTGCATGAGAAAAAACTCAATTTGAGAAAATGGCCTTTAAAGATATGCATTGTAATTGAAATCTACAGATAAAGTGCAATAAAATAAACGCTTAGTGTATTTTGGATGTCTTCTTTCCACTAGTCTGAGAAAAAAAAAAAAACAGGTTATGAAAAGCCAAATAGACCAAAATCTAATAATTAAAAAAACCTTCTAAAGACTTCTATTTTTTGTGAAGTTTATACGATGCTAATTGGTTATTCTCTTTAATATACACACAATTTTATACATTTCACATAAAGATGTATGTTACCTTAAATTTATGTTCACCTACATTATTCTTTACACTATATTGTCACTGAATGTAAAGAAACAAGTAGCTGTGTCCTCTTGTGCAAACATAATGATAGCAAAGAATCAGGGAAACGTTTTTATTGCAGAGGGCTGTTTCTGTCAGTATAATAACATTTCAAAAAAGAAAGAATGATTCACACACTATCACACCCACATGAAGTCCCTAAGCAAGGGCATGCAGGGCTGGAGGCTGAAAAGCAGGAAACCAGCACTCTTGTATCGGTCTCTCTGCACATCTGTGATGATGGTCTAACATCACATCATCACCTTTACCCGAGTCCTACAGCAAAAGTGCACAAACTGTAGTTCTTCAAAACCAACCCACTCTACTCTACTTTTTAGTCCAAAAGAACATGATCCCAAAATCTTCGAGTGGCTTGTGTCAGTGTGCATGTACAATGTGTGGGATACAGTTTCACTTTTATAACTGGAACGCGTGTATCAGGTTTTTCTAATACCTCTTTAAACTTTGCATAGTCTAGAACATTTTGTGGCATAAAGTCACTCCTACTGCAACCCAAAATGACACCCTCACTTCATTACCCGCATAATAAACGTGTATCTGCTCAGAAATGAAAGTTTTCAACAGTAAAAGACTGCTGGTTGCTGCCTTTTGCTTTAAAAGTGCTTCGAGTGTCCATAACTTCTTTTTATCAAAATAATCTTCTGAAGTCAACAGCCTGTGCCTCTATTTCTTATCCTCATACATGACTGGTTCTGCCCTACATGCCGAGGTTTGCGGTACTGAGGTTGAGGTTAAAATACATTCACATGGGGGAAACTCACAGTTTGAGGTCAAAGCGTGACTTCTGACCTCACCTGACCTTTGGCATCACTGCTGTGAGATTGATAATAAATCAGTGATTGTATTCATCAATGCTTGTTTAGTAACACTGATTGTACAATCACTGGTTGTAAGACATTCCCTCTGACCTTTCAGAAAGGGAAAAGGCTGCATGCAGGAGGTACAAAAAAATTTTTCAAAGTATTTTGATACTCTTCTGATGATAATGAAAAGCAGAGAAGGTACAGAGGCACAGAGAGGTTGAAATAGAACACAAAACCAGCCTTATACTGCAGCAAAAATAGGCAGAATGGTGGATGTGTTGTGTTCGTCTATTACTCGGTCTGTATAAGAGTGCAATAAGCGTCAAATGAGAAATAAATGTTCAAGACAGACCTTTGATTGACACATTGCAGATTGAAATGAGATGGTCATAAAGAGATCAGTAATAAATAAAGAAACCGGAATGTATGAACATGGAATGAGAAGGAGAGAGATCTCATCCCTCACTCACACTCGTTTTGTCTTAGCACGCTGAACATGTTGAGAGTGAGGCCCTTCTTGCAAGCCTTCACGGTATCATCTTCATCATCCCCATAAGCGTCTTCATCATCATCTGCGTCTCGATCGTTGTCCTCTTCCAGCTCTGAGCTGGATTCACCGTCGTCGTCTTCCCTGCCACCCCTATCCTCTTCATCCTTTCTTCCTTGTAGAGCAATGATCTCGGACAGGTCTGGGTGTGATTCCCATTCATCTGAAGAGATTGAGATTAAATGTCAAATTTGGGACACGATGACATGAACACATCTGTAGTGGTTTGACCTCTGACCTTTACTCTGAGAGTATCCAGGTGGCCGCAGACACAGACACAACCGTCCGTCGATTGCCAAACGCAGTAGACTGTTGGCTGCTCGATAAACATCATTACGGGCCGCCATAGCAGTCTTATACCCTCTCTTATCAGCCCAGGCTGACAAAAAAAACAAAAAAACAGACTATTGAAAACCAGTTCCTCCCTCCAATCGAATTGTAAATAGGAAATGAATAACGCCACATCAGAAAAGTACACACCTTCACACACGTCCCATGCTGTCCAGTCCTGTGTGTCGGGGTCACGTGGCATTTCTGGGCAGTGGTCGGGATGTTTCAGCTTTAATACAGACAGGAAGTCAGTCCGTTCACACAGGTATCCTACTGAACTGTAAGGCTCTTGCAGCTGGGACACTGGATATATACCAGCCAGGATCTGTTTGAGAAGATGCATAACATGGACACACATAAACAAAGCCAGGATGATTTAACTTTCATAAATTTTACAGTATCATGCTGTTTTTACCTGTAGCTGCTTGTCCACTTGGGAAGGGAAGACAAGCCCAGGACAATCGCACAGTTTCACAGTGGGAGTGAGGTAGTATGTTTGGAAATATTTTGTGTGACCTGGGGTTCGAGACACGCTCACGACCTTCCTGCCAACCAGACTGTTCAGCACTGAAGATTTGCCTACATTAGGAAAACCTGGAGAAAGTGCATAAGACTCAATATGAAGTTTAAATTAATTAATGAATTTGAATTTTACACATTGGGGAGAAGTACTTCATATAAGATTTATGTAACTGATATTGATCTAAAACAACACAACTTAAAGTTGGCATGAAACGGAAATTGCGATCGTCCTTTTTATCCCTATTTTGGTGTATATCCAAGTGAAACGGCTTCTCAAATGAGAAAAAAAGTAGGGCGGGGCTCGATTGTTCATCAGGGCTTGATTAGCTCGTTGAATTGTTGTTGTTTGTTAATAGCTGCAATCTCATGTGAGTGACAGGTTTCTGGAAGTGAGGGATTATTGTCCCGGTCTCACATGTCGTCGTGAGGGGGCGGGGACGTGCACATTTTGATTAAAGATGATAAGGACACATTCATTTTATTTTTAAATAATGATAAATCATTAATAATAAACACTGCAATTAAAAAAAAAGAAAAAGAAAAAAGAATCGTCAATTTTGATTTCCTGGTGACTAATCTTTTTACCTATGCAGCCCAAGGTTAGTACTCCATCTTTATAAAGTTCTTGCGTGGGGCTGTTCATTTCCATGGCAACATCAGTATGATGCTCCATCAGCACAGATTCCGATCCATCATCATCAGCCCGATCCCCCTCTGTTCCCACAGCAACAGCATCCCTCTGGATCTTCTTCTCCCAGCTGTTCAAATCCACTGAAAACAACAATCATCATCATCATTACTCTCTGTGTTCCAGTGCTCATTTAGTTGTCTGGGAGGAACTTGTCTTACCTCTTCCTGCTGTGATCTCCTGACACGCTCTCATGATTTGGAACGGCCCTCCTACCTGATTCCATCCTGCTTTCTTCCTCACCCTCTTCTTCTGTAGAACTGCAGGTAGTACAGATGAAGGAAACATATTTTAATCTGGTCACATATAGATAAAGCACTGATAGAGGAAGGATTCTCTCACGGGTGCTGTAGGGTTGTCCTGGGTGCGAGGTGAAGCCGACACAGTGCAGGTGGGGGAACTGTTTAGTCAGATAGTGTTTCCATGCCAACACCAGCGGGGCGGGGCACAAGTCCACCTTATTGAGCACCAGGATGATGTACTTCTTTAACTCACCAGTGATGTAGTGATACACAGCAGGAGAAAGCTGCAGCACCTACAGACAGAGTGATAATGTTTGCTTGTACTGAATGGTAATGACTACTTAACAACTCCATCCTTCTTTTGCTCAAAAAGTATAACGCAATAAAAAAGTGCTGTTTTCTGAGATTAAATGTAATACAATCTCTGGCCCCACCTAGTGGGGACTTTATTACCTCACTTTGCATAATTTAAGAATTCTCAAATTTAGTGTAAGAGCTATGCAATTTTCATGACCTTTTGAAAACTGCTTAAAGTTTCAACAGGCATTACAGTCGCACACTTACTGGGTGTCTGATATCCACTATGAGTAGAATGACATCAGACATCTCCAATACTCTCCACAGCTGCCTCCATGTCTGAGAGAGAAAGACAGTCAGTCAGTAGTAAATAAACAAACAAACAAAAAGTAACCAATTTTGAATAGCTGTTATTTGAAAGAGCACCATTCACGCTGTCTGACCTTCAGTAATGCATCTTAATCTGTTATTCACATTCTTTCAGATTAGCCAACCTGTTTGTAATTCGTTGGCCCACTTTAGGTAAAATAATGTATGGTCTCCTGTTAAGTATTTGCTACATTAATCCAAAACTATCTGGAAACTGTTAAAACAACGAATTCATTGTGATCCAATATTTGCAGAATAATTGCTCAGCTAAGTGCTTCCAACATTTAGCAGCAAAGTTTATAAGTTCTTAGACATAACGGTTGTTTGTCTAAAAATGATCTGCACAATATTGTGGTGCTTCTGTTGTCTGTAGGCTTTTAAGAAAGACAAACAGGAAGAAGCCTTTTTTTTATTAAGTTTAATATGCCTCATTTTTAGTCTCATACATTTAAACTAGCATTTAGGAAAAGTGTTGCTTCTTTTTCCCTAAGCAAACACAGCAGTTTCAGTGTCACAAGACTTGAGAGGGGCAATGGCTCATAAACATGAGTTTATGAGCCATTGAACATGACTCAAAGTTCATGAATTTGAACACTTAACAGTGCTTGCCTCCAGCACCGTCTGACCAAACAGATGCTCAAGCGCAATAAAACAACTATTTCATTACAGCTATTGACTCAGCAACAATCCAATTCTGGTTGCTGATAAAAATGATTTCTCCAAGTACTTCAGTACTGTGTTTTCTAACAGAACATGCCTCACCTCGAGATTGTGCTCAAAGTGGCTGAGGCTACCGGGTGGGTTTTTGGAGTGAAGAGTGTCCAGATACTCCAGAAATGACTTCTCCTCTTTCCGCAGCAACTCCTCTCGCCGCATTTCGTAATGCCACGAGGGCCGCCGTGGGATATCCAGGCCTGTGATTAGACAAAATGAAAAAAGTGAAATAAGACATTGAGTTGACCTTGTTGACTCATCTATTTGACAGCAAAGTCTATATATTTTTTTCCACACAGATGCTCCGACAAAACTATGGCTAGTTTTGTGAAGTGTGTCCCAGTTTAGAACCACCACTTCATATTACTTAGCTCAGCAGCATAAATACCTTTCTCTTCGGGGAAGATCTGGTTTATATCCATCTCTAGTTCCTTTTCTGCCACCGGCTTCAGGATTTTCTTCATCGCTATTTTCTTCCTCTTCTCCACCTCCTCCTTGCTCTCCCTCTCAAAGTGCAGACGGAATCTGCAAAACAAGCCATTATAAGATTAACAAACAGGACGATACATGCCCCTGCTAAAACATCTCATGTTGAATTAATAAGACAAGACTGCACTGACTGTTTCACCTGTCCCGACTCACCTGTTGGGGTCATATCTGCCGTCTCTGGCACCAGGCTGATGGTTGATCCTCCTGATGTCCGTCGTCTCGCTGTCTGATGTATCCGACTGTCTGTCTCTGCCAGGTCCTCTCTCCACACTGGCATTTCGGCTACTGTGACTTGAACCTGGTTCTCCTGCGCGCGCGCACACACACAGAGAGAGAGAAACTTTAAAGAGTGTTTCCTGTCTTCTTGACTATGAATCCAAAGCAAAGTAATGTCATATACTGTAAAAAGGATTTTTTTTTTGAAGTTGTAAATAAAACAAAAGTACGTTTTACAAGAAAATACTATTTCATTCTTTATCTCAGTCATTAAAAATGTCATGTTTAATTCAATGCGATACTTGCCATTTATTTGTAAATATATGTGTAATCAATTAGCAATTTTCTATTAAATACTACACCGTGTTTTTTTTTCAGTGGACAGAGTTTTCTTTTGTTTTTTAATTATATGCCCCTTTCTGTTGAAAAACATAGTATACTTCCAATAATCATGTCTTCCCCATAATTAACACTCTGTTGTTATTAATTACAATATAGATATGACAATAGTGTGGAAATTTACACTGATGACATAATAAATAATTATCCCTGATATTCTGCAAACTGTTTGTGTAGGTTTTACTGTGTACTAGACACAAATACTTGCAGAACTGCAGGCGAACGACAGTTAATTAAGCCTGCTTTAGTGTGTATTGATCGCTTTGTTGTTGTGTTACGTAACTTCACGCTGAGTCTGCGCACTTATATACCGCATAACACAAGCGCCAACTACAGCAAAACACGAGCTGTTCAAAATGCGTGTCATAATCACCCCCTTTACGCAGCATTTCACTGTTGACAAGGCAGAATATAAATTTAGACACTGTAAAGATACTGTTCGGTTGTGTGACGTTCGACCTGTCACGTGCAGAGTAGTTGTTTACAGCAGACAACATCCATATCAAGAACATTATGATACATGTAACGTTATACTGTTGCTGGATGTGACATTCAGCGTCCCTTCTTGTATGCAACCCTCAAATAAAAATGACAGCACGCGCTGTTTACTGCCTGTCAAGTTTGGTTACATACACCCACAGAAACTTAGCAAACAAAGTAGTTACAGCAGCGTAGTAGCTCAATTATTGTGTTAATATGTGAGAACATGGTCACATTTCTGCACACTAAAATATAAGCCATAAAACAATGAGTCACGTGGCTAATGTAGAACGTCTGCGAGCGCGTTCGTTCAGCTCGTCGCGCGCTAACTCAGCTAAGCTAGTTAACGTACCCACCTCTCTTTTTCTCGCGTTTCACCTGGAGCTGCTTCTTTTTCTGTTTGTTACTAAAAGGCTTTTTGCGCGGCATGTTCGCATGGATCAAAGGAGAAAAAAGAAAGAACGCGCGAGGACGTAAACTCCGTTGTTAGGTCTATATTTACATTCGTGAAGTTTCTCCGCTACTCGCATGGACTTTTCTGTGACACAGCCCACTACTGACGGGGTGGACGCTACCAATATGTACTTCAAAGATTCAACACTAGGCGTCACAAATACATTTTATTGACTCTGTACAATTGTTCTGGAATTTGTTACTGCTTCTGTTTACTTAATACGACTAACTGTTTGCGAAAGTAAAACAATAACAGCAATAAGTTATTTTGACCCCCATATTTTTGACAGGTGGTGCAATCTGCCATTGTGCGATAGAATGTTGGACATCAGTACGAATATATACTATCAATATTTAAATTATATAAGTTAATTATATAAATAACTATATATCAGTTTTATAAATATTAATAACTACAAATAACTTGGTGGTAAGGATGTTGCTGAAAGACTAAACTTAACCACAAATAATTCATTCTAGACCATATTCTGTTTCTTAGATATCTGACAAACAATACAACTATGCATTACATTATTTACAGTCTGAGGGAATTTAGTTTAAAATGTTGAACCACAAAGAAGTATCTTAATTCTCTAAACCGAGGGGGGTCCTTGAAGGTCGTGTAGGGAGTCTATAGACAGATCGAGGTATAAAAAACATAGAATTTCAATAAGTAACATTATTCTATGTTCTTAAATGATTTCTAAATGTGAACAATTACATTAATGATCCAAGTATTATAAAAGGCAGTAACACTTGTTAATGTTGTAAATGAAAATTACTTAAAAACCCAGGTTGCCAGAGTCTGTAAAGTTTGCAAACCCCTGCTATAAGATAATCACAAGGAGGCACATCAGAAGCAATTGTTTTAATATCTTGTTTTTACAGGGTTAAAGCACACTAATCCGATTTTGTTAATGTCAAGAGGTTGAGATTTGGGGAGCAATAGTTATTTTGATAGAATAACAGTAGTAACAGTAATAATATAATATTACATGTCATCTGCAGATGGGAATGCTAAACAGGATCATTTTTTAAAAGAAAAAAAAAACATCTCAAGATATTTGCCATTGACATTAGTTGACACAAATTCTTTTTGTCCTATTTCCTGTTGTCCTTTACTCATTCACACACAAAACATTTGATGATCATATATACATTCTTTTCTGTTTTACGTACATTACTGCAAACAAATTTCCCTTTTAAAACAAAAACAGACCAACAATTCCCATACATACTGTGCAAGAGACAACATTTCCATTCTTGTGGACAGTAACAATATTAATGTTGATAGTGCAGTGATCGTACCAACAACTACAGACGCAATCATACAAACGTGATAAACCAGAAATTTTTGAGCTGGGTACCCACTGAAACAGCCACAGTCTTCAAGGAAGCTTTTGCGAGGAAGATCAGGATTACAGCAATAAATGTTTAAAAAATGGAAAGAAAAATATTACAAAATCTATCTCCTTCACTTTTGTTCATTTAAGTCCACTTGCTCCTTCATACAAATGAGAAGGCATTGAGTAAGAAAATCTTTTCAGTATGCACAGTTCTGTGTAATTGCAACAGTTTTTTCTAAACTCCAAAGTTTCATCCCTCGCTCATGAGTTCAGGTGTTCCACCTGTATGGCGGAAGCCTCCACAGTGATGCAGAGGTCTTTGTGAGGGGAGATGTCAGACACACTGACAGTTTTATACTGCACATCAGCAGAAGTTAATGGTTTGTACTGGTTCAGGTCGAATATGCACGGCTGACCGAAGACGTCGCTCCTCTCGACACGGCTCTGTGCGTCTCCTTCCGAGCCGCCTCCTTCAACACGGCCTGGGCTGTGGCTTTGCTGGGTTGATCCAGGTGGAGACGGCAGCATATCTGGGGCGTGTTTACGCATGTGTTTCATCAGATACGTCTCCTACAGGCAGAGAGAGATACATATTAGTATCATCTTGAGAACGGGAACTGGGAATGCTGCTCATTTATGGTGTGAGATTGGGTGTTCATTTTTGTACCGAGGTATATGTGCGGTTGCATAAACCGCAGGAGTACAGCTTAGCGTGCTTGACTGTGTGAGTGGACAGATGAACCTCCAGGCTGGCTGCGTCTACATAACCACGGTTACAGTGGTGACACTTATACGGTTTGTCCTTGTTGTGCTGACGCCGATGAGACTGGAAAATATTGGAAGAAATATTGAAATGACAGTTCACTAAAAAAAAAGAAGAAAATTCTGCCATTTACTCACCCTAGAATTTTTTTCAAATGTGTCAGTCAAAAGCTCTCTTCCAAATAATGAAATTAAGGTTGTTAAGCTCCACAGAGCACCATAAAAGAATCATAAAACAACCCCATATGACTTAGATGATTAATTCAAGTGTTTTGAAGAATGCAAGTAATTATTCAATGAAAATGTTGCAAGCAGGGTTGTGCAAAACTCAAAATTGAAGAACTGGCTCCCTCTCAATCTGATTGTGAATTTAAACTGAATTGACCACATCCTACAGGAAGCACAACAGGAATTTGAATAGGAATGACAGGAAGATCTATCTATCTATCTATCTATAATAATAATAATAATAATTTATTACATTTATATAGCGCTTTTCTCAGCACTCAAATTGCTTTACATAGAAGGGGAGGATCTCCTCAACCACCACCAATGTGCAGCATCCATATTGTGCCAGAACGTCCACCACACACCAGCTTATTATCCATCCATCAATCTATCTATCTAGATACTATCGTTCCAAAGTTTGGGGTCAATTTATTCCTGTGATGACATTCCTTTCTACAGTCTTCAGTGTCACATGATCCTTCAGAAATCATTATTATATGCTGATTTGCAGCTCAGTAAACATATCTTATTACATTCTTATTCATTCTTATGATTCACTGATTTTTTTATCGCTACCTTAGGAATCATTGTTTACATTCGAAGGAACTATAAACTTTTATCCCAATACTTCTGTGATCATTTGAATTATTGTAACAGAAATAATGATACTGTGTGTGGTTGAAAGACTGTTTGTGAAGCTGTTTCATACATATGACACAACTGCTCTCTCTGGCAGCAGCACAAATGCATATTTGAATGTTCACTGTGATCATCCTTGTCAAAGGTTTAATAGACATATCAGAATTATTGTAATTTAGGAATAAGATCGCAATCTTTTAACAATTAATCGCGCAGCTCTACTTTATAGATTTAAATAGAGAAACGGAGTACTTTTCTCACCTGCAGATTAGAGAGCTGAGTGAAAGACTTCTCACAACCCAAGTGTGAACATTTGTATGGCCTGTCTCCTGTGTGGATCCTGAACAGGCGCAAAATGTATGTCAAGAGGTAAGAAATTAATGGAAAACTAAACTGAGTATGTATGGTTAAGAATGAGGTGTAGAAAAAGCCATAAAAAATCCATTACTGCACCTGTGGTGTTGCTGTAAGTGACTGAGCTGTCTGAAGGTCTTCTGGCAGTAGTTACAGGTGTAAGGTTTAACTCCTGTGTGGATTCGTATATGCTGAGCAAGGTAGCTTGTGTTGGCGAAGGATTTCGAGCAATGAGGACACTTATGAGGTTTGGATTCTGTGTGGTTTCTGTAAAGGAAAGACAAACATGCTTACCTATGGACTCATTCGATAATTTATAGAGGCTACACAAATATTTGACATGACAGTATTGTTCATTTCTACACTCACTCGGCTGACCTTTCTTAGGTGGTCCCTACTGCCAACGAATGTCAAAAGTGCGCAGTGTATTTCGAAGACACATTTGGAAGTGGTGTGGTATGTGTTTGAATGAGGTCACAGAAAGGGCAGATCCATTTCTCAAAAAAACATTAGCACTAAATCCTCACAGGAACTCTGTGGGCCAAAGAACCCAATCCCATGTCCAAGTGCGATCAACAGTAGACGAAACCTTTACGTGACCTCTATTTCAGAGCGGGGCAGAACCTCATAAAACTTCTACACAGTTATGGGACAATAATGTAGAGTCAAAGAGAACTAGGCTTTCACTGACAGCTTCAATTTCAGTTCAATCCTTCAGTCGGTGTGTGTAAGACTCCACAGTGTGGTGTAAAAAATGCAAGTAGTCCGCAGTTTCATAAAAAGTGTGCCAGAGGAGAAATAAATTATACAAATAGAGAAAATATTTTTTTTTTTAACAAATTAAAATGATACTTCTTTAATTCTTTTGAGATGGAAAGGAACTTTTCCTGACCATCTTTAGTTTCTTCTAGCAATTTTTCTTCCAGTTCATCAATTAGACATTTAAAGTGCAATCCACCCACTACACATGGTGACATCACGCTATAGCTGACTTCACCATTATAAAGACTGTGGTATATATTTAAACAGTCCATTAGACATAAACTTGCATATAAGCAAACCATCACCAGAGTATGTTGCTATAGCAACAAGGAAAAGAGCATGAGGCCCTGTTGTCAACCTTTCCAACGTGACCGTGTAATGTCTCAGGGGGCGAGCACCCAGGACACGTGTTTGCGTTTAAAAACTGCTAGATGAGCACAACGGAAAGCAGAATGCGGAGGTCACAAGAAGCACTTTAAACGCCCAGGATTAGTCAGTTATCCATAAAGTAGGTGGGTTGAAGATACTGTTAGCTACCACTTTCGGAGTGAACAAAATAAATAAATAATAATTACCTTGAAACTAGAATTAGCCTTTATGAAAAGTTATGCTGCAGAGAAACTTTTTTATTTACATTAGTCAAGCACTTCTTTTCTTCTTGTTTTTTTTTTGTACAAAAAATATTATTCCAAATCAATGTGTTAACTTTGACAGCCCTAAAAACACATTTTGTTAAATATTTTTCTTTTCTCTCCAATTTTTCACCACACTCACAATATTGAGATACATTACAATGGTCCGAGTACCAATAATTTTATGCGTTTATATTTGTATGCTTTTATAATTTTCTACAGTTTAACTAATACAGAATAAGATGTTTTCAAACCAGGGTCCAGGAACCTTAGGGTTTGCTTCAGTACAACAATAATAATAATAATAATAATAATTTAATTTACAAAACTTGTTTTTATATTATAATATGAAACTTAATATTTTTCTCAGACATTATAAATGGGTCTTTATAGATAAAAATATGCAGCCTTTATATATATATATATTTAAAAAAATAATCAAAGAACATTAAGTAAATATCAAAATGAATATCCTTTATTCATATTGCACATTATAATGTTGTGATGCCTAAATACGTGAATCATTTATAACTACTGTTTTAAGTTTCTGGTAACACGTCTTTATATATAATGCATTATAGAAATATTTTAATGAATGAATTATGCCTTGTATTGCACCTTACAATGGATTGTAAAATTCTCATAAATAATTGTAACCACAGTTATAATATATCTATTCTTTGTTATGCCTTTTAAAAGTAGAATTCATTAAAACACATAAAAAATATATCTTCAAATATAATAATGCATCATTGGTTATTATTTATGAAAAGATTGAATGCATTATTACATACATTATATGAATATCTTTATAATGCATTATACATAAAGGTTTTCAGTAAAGAATTACCAAGTTTTTTTTGTGTGTTTTAATTTAATTTTAGAACTGAAATATCAGCAATTTATTCGTATTTGGTCATATAGGACAAATGCTCGCTGACCAACACGCTGATTCTCTCTTTAACGTGTTTAATGCAGTTTAAAATTCGAAATCAAATCTTTTGCAATGTGTATCATATCGTGAGGAAGTTGGCGAACTCACACACAGACGCTCCCGCAGTCCTCTCCCTATACTAAAGTCCATCACACACACTCTCCACCACCCGCCTGCTTTGCCACAGACACCCACACACAAACACACACACGCTTGTGGTGCGGTGCTGAATACCGTGTGTGCTGCTGTAAGTGACTGAGCTGTCTGAAAGCCTTCTGGCAGTAGGAGCAGGTGTAGGGCTTGGCACCGCTGTGGATGCGGATGTGCTGGGCCAGGTAGCTGGTGTTAGCGAAGGATTTGGAGCAGTGCGGACACTGGTGAGCTTTCACCTCCGTGTGCGACTTGGAGTGCAGCTGCATATCTGACTTACTGCAGAACGTCAAACCACACATCCGGCACCTACAGACAGAAACACACACACACACACACACACACACACACACACACACACACACACACACACACCAAGAGGTGGACAGAGGGATGAGAGAGGAGGAAAACATGGGAGAAGACAAAGTACGGATGAAAACGGTACAAAGAGAAAAGGAAAGTTACAAGCCTGTCCATCAATAGTGAAAGGAGAAACTTGAGACAAACGACACGACAAAGAGGCAAGAAAGAGACACAACACAAGCGGGAGGGTGAGAGACGAGGAGGTCAGTGGAGAACGATCCAGAAAGAAATCGTAGACCCTGGCTCTAGAAAAGAAAAATGAGATGGAGAGGCCAGAAACACGAGTGCACTGCAGATGGGTGACAAAAGTGTGTGTGTGTATGTGTGTGTGTGTGTGTGTGTGTGTAGATGTGTGTAGCTGAGGCTGCACATGCTGTTGAGCAGAATAACACACACTTCTACAGAAGCACAGCAGACAAACTCGTTGCGAAGCCTTGAAGCCGGCGAGAGTGTGCGTCAGGCCGGAGGGACATGCATTTCTGCCGTATGAAAATGAAGTGGCTTAGCAATTCCTGCCTCTGTCTTTACCTCTTCTAATAGATTGTAAGAAACACACACTGACGTCATGCTGAGCTGATGTCCCTTTGAAAATCCATACCTGTATGTTTTTCCACCTTCTTTCCCAGCATGCCCTTCTTCTAAGGACAGACTGTAAGGGTTGGCAGAATGATGCTACAGAGAAAAGGAAAATCAGTAAAAAAAATTGTTGTTGTTCAAAACTTATTGAAAAAATTAGATAAAAGATTTATTATTTATTTATTATTTATAATGTTACAAAAGATTTCTGATTTCAAATACATTTCTGTTCATTAAAGAAACCTGACAACTGTTTTTTCAACATTGATGAAATGTTTCTTGAGCACCAAATCAGCAATAAATTGATTTCTGAAGGATCATGTGACACTGAAGACTAGAGTATGTTTGCTGAAAATTCAGATTTGCCATAACAGAAAATCAATCAATCAATCAATCAATATATATATATATATATATATATATACACACTCACCTAAAGGATTATTGGGAACACCATACTAATACTGTGTTTGACCCCCTTTCGCCTTCAGAACTGCCTTAATTCTACGTGGCATTGATTCAACAAGGTGCTGAAAGCATTCTTTAGAAATGTTGGCCCATATTGATAGGATAGCATCTTGCAGTTGATGGAGATTTGTGGGATGCACATCCAGGGCACGAAGCTCCCGTTCCACCACATCCCAAGGATGCTCTCTATTGGGTTGAGATCTGGTGACTGTGGGGGCCATTTTAGTACAGTGAACTCATTGTCATGTTCAAGAAACCAATTTGAAATGATTCGAGCTTTGTGACATGGTCCATTATCCTGCTGGAAGTAGCCATCAGAGGATGGGTACATGGTGGCCATAAAGGGATGGACATGGTCAGAAACAATGCTCAGGTAGGCCGTGGCATTTAAACGATGCCCAATTGGCACTAAGGGGCCTAAAGTGTGCCAAGAAAACATCCCCCACACCATTACACCACCACCACCAGCCTGCACAGTGGTAACAAGGCATGATGGATCCATGTTCTCATTCTGTTTACGCCAAATTCTGACTCTACCATCTGAATGTCTCAACAGAAATCGAGACTCAGACCAGGCAACATTTTTCCAGTCTTTAACTGTCCAATTTTGGTGAGCTCTTGCAAATTGTAGCCTCTTTTTCCTATTTGTAGTGGAGATGAGTGGTACCCGGTGGGGTCTTCTGCTGTTGTAGCCCATCCGCCTCAAGGTTGTGCGTGTTGTGGCTTCACAAATGCTTTGCTGCATACCTCGGTTGTAACGAGTGGTTATTTCAGTCAAAGTTGCTCTTCTATCAGCTTGAATCAGTCGGCCCATTCTCCTCTGACCTCTAGCATTAACAAGGCATTTTCGCCCACAGGACTGCCGCATACTGGATGTTTTTCCCTTTTCACACCATTCTTTGTAAACCATAGAAATGGTTGTGTGTGAAAATCCCAGTAACTGAGCAGATTGTGAAATACTCAGACCGGCCCGTCTGGCACCAACAACCATGCCACGCTCAAAATTGCTTAAATCACCTTTCTTTCCCATTCTGACATTCAGTTTGGAGTTCAGGAGATTGTCTTGACCAGGACCACACCCCTAAATGCATTGAAGCAACTGCCATGTGATTGGTTGATTAGATAATTGCATTAATGAGAAATTGAACAGGTGTTCCTAATAATCCTTTAGGTGAACAGTAGAAAGGAATCACTTGCGCCTCAGTCTAGCCTTGCACCTTCCTTTTTTTTTCTTTTTTTTTTGACTCTGAAGAAGACGCAGGTGCGTCGAAACGTTGGTCATTTTGCACTAATAAATATATTAAAACGTTCTGTGCTCTGGTCCTGCTCCTTGGTCCTAGTTAGACCTTGGGTCCTTTTTCTCAAATCCTTTAGGTGAGTGTATATATTTAACAATATTACTCTTTTTTTTAAATATATATATATATATATATTATACTAGCCTGGCTAACGTCAGACACAAGTCTGGGAACCACATGTTCATTTTCTCGTATTTGAGGCGTGGTTTGCGAATGCCCAGAGCCGTTTATTGGGTGCTAAGAATGTCTATCAAATGCGCCTGTACGTCGCTCAGTCATAGCCAATCGTTTCAATTATACCAGATGACGTATGTAGAGCGACAGAAAATAGACGAGGAAGAAGACGATGGGTCAGAGATTTATGTGTACACGATGGCGTGTATCTAACGGCCGTTTCAAACCGCATGCGTGAGCGGCGCGTATTTTTTCCGGCGTGCATGTTAATCAATGAGTGCATTCACACCGGGAGCAGGAGCAGCGTGTGAGCGTCGAGCAGGAGCGGTGCGTGAGCAGCAGTGAAGCGGGGGTTTCGGCGTCGAATCTGTTTTTGCTGCACTGCTCACGCCAAATTAAAGTGAAAGCACAGTTTTGATGGACAAAAATAAACATGTGCCCAAAAAAAACAAAAAGTGCCCAAAATGCACAGAATAAGCATGTCTAGCGAGTTTTAACAAGAACTTGAGTAGGCAAATAAAAGAAAATATTTATAGAAGATTTAGGCTACCCAGTAAAAAACTTGTTTTTAATTATTCAGTTTCGGTGAAAGTTGTGTATTATATTAAAAAAAAACGAAAGTAAACTAGCCAGAAAATATTATATATAAACGTTCTTTTAGTGTAACACACAGACAGCTACATAGGCTAGCACAACCCAAATCAAACCCGAGTGTGGTTTATTTGTGTGTTTTGTTTTTTATCCACGGAGTTGCAGTCTTGTAAACATATCGAAAGTATGACTGAAACTAATAGATTGGAGTCATTTTCTGGGTTGTTTTGTTGTTTAACATTTATATGCGAATGTTGTAGCTACACCTCCCCATTACAAACTTTCAAGACTATCAATGTTATAAATGTCCAACTTCTAAAAACAAATGTATAGTTGTCTTTGTAAAGAATTGCTAGCTTGTGTAGCTTTGGAGCCGCTGCTGTGACACTGTACAAACGCTTCAAGTGTGAATTCATACTTTGCATGTGACGTCACAAGTACTGGCTGGCGGGCAAGAACGTCGTTCTCCAGCAACGAAACCCAGTAAACTTATCAAGGATCTTGCCAGGACGTCGCCAGTTTTACTATACAAAAGTTGGTGTTTTGAGTTTTGTGATATCTATGGTTTTCAATGAGAACCAGAGATGACCCAACACTAACAGTAGAGCTAGATTATTTACGGAGGAATTATTACTGCTCGATTATCTTAAATAACCTTGTCTGCTTTACACAATTTAGCTACCTTGGAGTTAATCCTATTTCTAGTCCATAGTTATCCAGCTAGCTCGCTAACAGACTTGATAGCTACTAAAAGGAACTACAGGACTCTACGTTGAAAATACCCGTTTGTTGCCCGCCAGGTATCCACGATGTAGTTACACTGACGCGCTGCTCAAGTGCCGCTCACGCTTGCGGTGTGAAACGGCCGTAAGGCTGCATCGAAAGGTAACTTCGCGTCTGCTGCCATGTTGGATCCATAGGTATAAACAAACTGCTTCGGTGTGTCGCATAGACGTCGTCATCGTCTTGCTGCTCCCTCCCCGTTCTATGATTGGTTCCCTAGATGAGGCGAAAATTTGGTCCATGGTATCCAGACTACCTAGCAGCGTGAATAAAATCGCGCTGCGGCAAGGCAGTATGGGGAAACCCAGGCTATATATATACTGTATTTTGATCAAATAATGCAGCCTTGGTGAGTATAAGAGACTTCTTTAAAAAAAAAATATATATATATTTTTTAAATCTAACCAACTCCAAAATTGTGACCAATAGTGTATCTGGGCTAATCACTTTTTTCTAAGTTAATAAAATGTAATTTAAAACGATTTCACTATATGTTATTAACGTGTTGTTATACCTGTCCTGAAAGACCCAAAATCAAGGCATCTGTCCCAGTAGGTGAGCCAATCAACGGGAGTGTGGCTTTCTTCTTTCTGCCCCGTTTCGACGGTAACGGGATGATGACCGGTGAGCAGGTCAAGGAGTCATTTCTCTTGTCTGGTGGAGTCATGCAAGAGTAAAATGCTTTAATTATTTGAGACAAGACTGATGAGAAAATAAAAAGTATCTGTGACTATTTCAGGCATATCAAACACTCAATAAACCGACTCAATAAAAGATGTTCCCAAAATTAGTGATTAATCATATCTCACCAAAAATCATACCACGTGCATGCCTATGTTTATGTAAAATAAGGTGCATTACCCGTTTGGACTGTTATCATGGTGGTGGATGGATGTCCATGAATAAGGGACTGAGCAGATGATACAGGAGACACCAGAGTGACCAAACCCGCTAGAAAGAGTGTGGAAGTGATGGAAGACTTATCAAAGTGTAGAAACGTAATGATACTACAAATAGTGTAAACTAATGAGAAAAGACCATGTAGCAGTTTAACAAACACACACACACATACAGTACCTGCCGTCATGATGCCTGTAGGCGGTACCGGCACCACTGTGATACTGTGTGAGGAGTGAGACGGTTGTGCATGCTCTTGTTTTAGTGTCCTTGCTGTCGTTGTATCTATGGGACCCCCAGAAACCGCCACCACCGCTGTGGTGGGATAGTGGGCGGGGCCATGCGAGTAGGTGGTGCTTTTGTCCTGAACAAGCTGCTCCTTTACCTTATTGAGAAATACAGCATTCTCAATCTAAAACCAAACAGACAAAATTGGGTTAGACAAATAAGATCAAATAAAAGAGTATTATTATTATTTGAAAAAAAAAAAAAGTGTTACTAACATTCATAATGTTTTTTTTGTTTTAAAAAGAAGACTATTGTATTAGGACTATTGTTCTATTGTAATATATTATAAAATACAATTTAATCTTGTGATGCAAAGCCACATTTTCAGCATCATTACTCCAGTCTTCAGTGTCACATGATCCTTCAGAAATAATTCTAATATGCTGATTTACTGGTTTAAAAAAAAAAAAAGATTCTCATTCTCTGGCCAAATCAGTGAATATTGCTAACTTTCCAGTGTCTGTTTCTAAACAGGATAAAAGTTTGGGTGTCATCTTTGACAGTACTCTATCATTCAAAGCACGTATAATCTGTGTCATTCGCTCTGCATATTTCCACATTCATAATATTAACAGACTTCGTCCGGCTCTCTCAGAAAAGAGGACTGCAATTCTCATTCATACTTTAGTCACTTTCCGTGTTGTTTACTAAAACGCTCTTTTTTTATGGCCTGCCTTCAAAACTTCCCTACAAACTCCAGCAAGTAAAGAATTCAGCAGCTCAAATTATCTGCAGAACTCCTCTAGCTGAACACATTACTCCCATACTACAACACTTGCATTGGCTCCCAGTTAAATATCGTATTGATTTTAAAATTCTTCTTCTTCTTCTTCTTACTTGCAAGGCACTCAATGATCTTGCCCCTTCATATTTTTCTGACCTTCTTCATATTTACACTCCTACTCCTACTTTAAGATCATCTTCTGCACTTACTCTTGTTGTCCCTCGAACTCGCACTACTTCTATGGGGTCCCGAGCCTTTAGTCATGCGGCTCCTTATCTATGGAACTTGTTGCCACAGGATGTGCAAAAGAGTGAAAGTCTTCATGTTTTTAAATCTCGCCTTAAGACACAACTTTTCAGACAAGCTTTTATGTGATTACTTTTATGCTTGTATCAAGTCTGTCCATCCATAGTGATTATTTGTTTAATGTTGATTGTTTTATTGTATTTGAAAGGTGTCCTTGAGTGTCATGCAATAATAATTTATTATCAATGTTGAAAAACAGCTGTGCTGTTAAATATTTTTGTGGCAATCATTTGAAATAGAACAGCATTTATTAGATTTTTTTTGTAACAATGTAAAAGTCTTAACTATCACCTCTGATCAATTTAATGCTTCCTTGCTGAATATATTTTCTTTAAAAAGTCTTACTGAACACAAACTTCTGAAAGCTACCGTATATAATGTAAAACACTATATAAAGCATGCAAATGCATATAATTTGGTACTATATTAATGCTAGGCCAGGCATAAAATGCAATAGGGTCATTACATTTCAAATCAACCAAATTTCATACTTCCCCAGCTCAATTTTTTTATTTTGTTAATATTGTTTTCTATAGAAAGACAAACATAAATAGTGATGAAAGCCAAAATATTAAATACATCACAGATGTATATCTACTGAGTAATCCACTATTTTGTAGAGGGGGGGGGGGTCAAAATGACAATTTTCACCTGAGATTTGGAGTCAATTTACAGGGGGGTAAAAATGACTTTAGAAAGATGGCAGCATCATTATTTTATTTTTACATAGAGATTGGTTGGTCTATTAGTAAAATCGGTTGACTTTAGCAATCTTTCTTTTATTAAATGCTAACAGTGACAGTTCAAAAATGGCAAAAAACACTTCTTGTGTTTTTTGCCTCAAGTTTACATGCCTGTAACTCTAAAAGTATTCAAAATATCTAAATATCCTTCTAGATTCTCATTCTTAATAAACTTTACTTTTGAAATCTTCATTTTCAAGGCCTTATATTGTTCAGTCCCATAGATATTGGGATCTCAAAGCAGCTCGATGTTCAAATTGTTAAATTTTACCCATTTTCTGTGAACATTCAGTGGTCATTCAAGTCATTTTTACCCCCCTGTAAATTGACTTCAAATCTCAGGTGAAAATGGTAATATTGACCCCCCTCTACAAAATAATGGTTTACTCCGTAAATATACATCTGTGAAATGTAATATTTTGGCTTTTGTCACTATTTATGTTGATCTTTCTACATTAAAAATATTAACAAAATAAAAAATTTGAGTTGAGTTGACACGGAATGACCCAATAACCAATTTTCAAACTTAGACAGCTGAAATGCATACCGGTGTGCTTACCTGTCCCTGCACAGGAGACCAAAAGTATGAAGAATTAAAATGGGAATCCTCCATCATCCCTGAGAAAAGAAAGTAGGCATTTTGATATTCAAAAACTGTGTACACATTGTAACCTTTGACCTTACAGATAACATAAAATGTTATTTTATACATATTGATAATAATAAAACTTTACCTGTGGGGTGTATAATTTGATAAAAGATACAGAAATAAAATAATAATAATAATAATTTAACATTTTACAAATAAACTATTTTAATAACACAATTATAAATGGAATTGGACAACATGAATTATGCAGGACATTATATTCAGGAAGAGCTGGTGTCTGTCATGAGTCTATGTATGGTCAACAACACTGCAACAAATAAATCATGCGTTTCACATAAGCAAGTTGTTAGAAACTTCATACGTGACTGTAATGCATATTATCCATATGACAGAACCAGCATCACTGGTGAATCTGTGTTCAGGTTATATTTTTTACAGATGGCGGGTTTATACAGAAGCTCTTGCGTCTATATGGATGCAATTTTTCATAATGTTGCAGAGAAGAGAATGTGCTTTGCTTTAATCTTTATTAAAAGCGTTGCACTGTAAAATCCTATTTTTTCACCATATCACGAAATATTCAAATATTTATTTGCAAATAACCAATTATATCTAAATATCTGAATATTATTGACAGGCTGGGGCGAATCTACTGTGCGATAACAGAGGCGGACCAGCAGCCCACAGCATGACGTGACCCGTGCATTCACTCTACTGTTGGCTAAAATAAAAAAGGAAAGGCGAAAAAGGATAGAAAAAAAAACAGAACAAGTGGGGAAAAAAACGTCGACGCTGGAACCGAGGCGGTTTTACGCAGACTTCCGGCACATGAGTGTCGACGATCGGGCGACAGCAGCGCCAGCGGCTCACATCAACAGCCAAAAACAAGCTTCAAAGTGAAAAATAAAGACTGATTACCAGCTCTCAAGACTTTAGCTTCGCCCGCCGGGGATTTCCTCCAATCACGATAGTTTGAGAAATCTTTCCGAACCCACCCGATTAAAGAATTTCAATGTTTTTTTTTTCTCCCTTGTGTTTTTTTCTTCTATTTTTTTCTATTCTTACGGAGTTGGCCGAACTGTCTACACAGCACTTCCTCCCGAGCGGCGTGAATGATGCCCGTGCGTGCGGACGTCATTTCCGTCTAGTAAGGTCAAACATATCCAAGAATATTGTTTTTAACACGTTAATTATGCTTTTACACTAAAATACATTATTTTGTCTTATACAAAACAATTAATTTAGGGTTTAAAAACTTTTCGACATAAAAATATTGACATTTCTGTAAGGCATTTCTATGTTTTTAAATATATTTACGTTTAGATGTATGTTACAAACGGTTACAAAGCAATGTTCATTTAATCTGTTTGGGTATGCCATGTTTTTTTGTATTTTACACCCGTATGTGTTACTTAAAAAATAAAAACATTTAAAAGAACAAGAGCTGTAGTAGTACACAACTGCATTTTATGTTTTTTTTTTAGATCTCTAACGTTAGAAATTTTAAGGAATTTTAAAATTGTATGGAAATGTAATAAAATTACATGAACAAAAATGTGGAAATTGAATATAAATAACAGAAAATCGAATCTGTAATTTAGTATTAGGATTTCGGACAGCCACAATGTCTTAAATTTCTTTTTCTTTTCCTCTTTCTTTTTGTATTTTCATCGTTTATTATTATGACCTTATACTTTGTTTATGTTGTGTGATACCTAGAAAGAATATCATTGTTTAAATTTCACGTGTCCACACCCAAACTGACGTAGGCTATACTGATATTTAATGTAATTTATATTAATGATATTAGCAGGAGGTAAATGAAACACGAAAATGTTTTTCCCCAATTCCACGCGATGTCGCCAGAGAGATCATGTCCCTTTAGATGAGGTCACATTTTGAATCTGCTGATTTCCGGCAGATGAGGTCTGTGTACACGTCTACATACAGTATCCGTGAGTGTAGTCTGGAGACGAGCAATAACAATTCCGTTAACCCTTGTCTACAGTATCAACCGTGGATTCAATTAATATAAAACAACAGCAAAAGCATGCACGTCTAAAAAAGAGCTTACTGACTTGACGAGGAATCCCTGCAGTTGAAATTACATCGGCACTGGGTTTGTGTTTACACTCAGTTCAGATGGGGGAGGTGAGGAAACTCCAAAAGAAGTTAAGGCAAATTGAGAACTTGGAAATCAAAATTTCCCTCACTCCCGAGGAAAAAATAAAGGTACAGCATTATCAATGTCTTCTTCACTCACATTAAATATTTGTATCCTCCTACTGGACTCAAAACAGTGCAGAATTTGTGCACTGAACAATACATTCAGACCATATACTGTATGTTCAGCTCGAGGTCTCTGAACTGCCACTTTTCCCACTTCACACATTAAAAAAAGATCTTTCAGAAATGACTTACAAAATGGAAACACATTATTTCAAGGACAACTAATGCATGCAGCTAAACCATAACTTTATGTTTTGTCTTTTATGATTATTGCACGCAAGAAATCTCCAATATTTTACTCTTTGTAGGTCTCGAAGAAGGTGGAGCTTCGCTCCAGATTGGCTGAGCTTCTGCTGCAGCATTCTGGCCCCCAGCAAACTCAAGGGATTGTGGGAAAAGAGGAGGATAGAATGAAAAGACAAGTGTAAGAAAGAATGAGTGGCTAGGTAGGGAAGGGGAGAGCGAGACTGTCGGGGCGCATGAAATTAAACTCTAGGTCTCTGCCGGTGGCTAGTCCTCCACTGTCTGGGATCTAGGCAGTATTGATTCATAATATTTCTTTAAAAAGTCTATGCTTGAACTCCCACGTCCAGGCTTTCTGTCTTGCACATTGCTATTTAATAATATAGGTGTTACAACAAAGGTATAACAGGACAAGCGTTTGTTTAACACATTTGGACAGGCTTGAGAATAATGCGCAGTGATATTTATTTTGAGCTTGTTGATGTTTATTTTTCATGATAGTGAGGAGGTCACAGAGCAACATGTTGCCCGTGCTCCTGCGCTAAAGATTGCACGAGAGGAGAGACGAGAGAATGATGGAAGCCAGACAGATGGCAGAGGAGAGACGCATTTCCCCGTCAGCCCCAGTGTGGAAGAACAAGAAGGTCAAATTAGTGCACTAATCACACACACAATTACAGTTACTCGCACAGATGTTGATTACAAGCCTGCTTGTCTTTCACAGGAAGTTCTGCCTTATGGCTGTCTCATGCGATGATATAACAGATGGTTCTTTTATCGGCATTCACGGGAGAGAGAAAAAAAATGACCTCAGCTTATACAAAACTGTTTGTTTGTCTTACATTGCAGATGTCCAATTCAGATCTCGCAAACAAACTTGGGAAAAGTCCAAGTTTCGTCTCAGAACTCTAGAGGGTCACAGTGACATCATCACCTGTGTGGTCGCTGTCGACAATCTTGTGATTTCTGGCAGGTACTGGAACCAATGAGGAAAATATATATATATATATATATATATATATATAAAAGAGTTTATGGCTAACTGACTGTGAAATTGCTGACATATCTGTTAATGCCTCACTCCGCTTCCCTCTTCTCTTTTTTTCACCCACCATTTTAAGTCGAGATACAACAGTTAAAGTGTGGCATGTTCCCACGGCAACGGAGCAGCGCAATTTGGGAGGTCACAGTGGTGGAGTCACCTGTCTCAGTGCACCACCTCCAGAGTACTGCAGGAGATTGGGTACACACACAACAGACAAAGTAAAGAATATTTGATCCTGTTGACGGGGCCAGCCGGTTGATACAGATGTGCCCTCGATTGTTCACTCATCCTTTATGCTCTCTCTCCTTTCTCCCACCTCTTTTGTTCCAGCTACTTATGCCCTCCTTCCCATCTGTCCCTTTTGCTCTCCATCACTCCCTGTCTTGCTGTTTTGACAGTGCATTTGTTCTTCATATCCTTTGTCCTTCGTTCTCCCTTTTCTCATGTCCTGCAGTCACTCTTTTTTCCTCATTCGCTGTCCTGCTCTCTCATTCTCTTGATCTGTTTTTCTGCAGCACGTGCATTCGACTTGGCTGACAAGGAAAGATTTGTTCTTAGTGGTTCCACAGACTGTTGTGTGAGAATTTGGGCTTTGAGCTCGGGTGAGTCACACACACACACACACACACACACACACAAATATATGTGTGTGTATATATATACCTAGTATATGCGTCCACGTTAAATTGATCAAAAGTGGCAGTAAAGATGTTACAAAATGTTACAAAAGATTTCCATTGCAAATAAATGCTGTTCCTTTGAACTTTCTATTCATCAATAAATTCTGAAAAAAATATGTCATGGTTTCCACAAAAAATATATTAAACAGCAAAACAGGTTGTTGATCAAATAAATGCATCCTTGGTAAACATAAGAGACTGATCTACCAGAAACCTTTACGGGACGATACATTTTTCATGTATCGTGTTTAAAAGATAATCATGTTTAATATTTCAATTACTAGAACTGTGGTTAAAGCTGAATTTATGACATCATATATTCAAATTTTGATTTGAGTTATATTTTCATTAAACTATTTGAAAAGAATGAAAAAAAATCTGTTCTATATATCAGGAGATAAAAAGTCATAATTGGTCTAAATTATTGATGTTATTCTTTATGTTTTGGTAACAAAACTTGCAGGACTAATTCAATTAATTTCTTGTGTGAATGTCTGAATTGCAGTTCAGTAAATCTCACCTCCTCTCATTCCAAATTCAACATCCTGTGATGTGTGAGCAATGTGATTCAAATTCACACTCATGAATCAAAAGAATGACAGTTTTTAAAATTCAGAATTTTGCCAAACCATGCTTAAGATGTAGAGTGGCATTAGACATACTCATTTTAAATGATAATTTAAAAAAAAAGTAAGGATTGCAATGTTAAAGGATGGAGAGTGTACAGTAGAGGTTCTGTTGTAATGGTTGCAGTGTGTTCTGAATGTCCATTATCTTTGAATCTCAAGAATCAAGTCATTATATAACTGGTGAAAGGGTACTCACTCTTTTTTTGGAAACTGCTATTTTTTTCAACCCCTGCTGATGAGGGTGAATTAAACTCAAGTGTGTTTGGGGTTTGCATCACATTCTGATTTTGTTACTCCTGCAGGTCAGTGTGTTAAATCCATCTACACTTTCAGTGCAGTCACAAGCCTGTGCTTCATTCCTGAAGGAGAGGGCTTCATTGTTACTGGTTCAGGTACAGTAGGTATCTCTCTCTCTCTCTGTGTGTGTGTGTGTGTGTGTGTGTGAGAGAGGGTGAGTTGAGCATGCCTTGCATCAGTCTCGACATATCAGGTGCATCTTGAGCTCAGTGATATTGATCTTACTCTAGATGCTGGGAAGCTGCAGGTGTGGAGCTGGAGCTCGCAGGAGAACTGTCAGTCAGTGAACGCACACCTGGACGCAGTCACCACACTACAGGTGGGCGAGCGCCATGGCAACAGAACTGTGCTGGCATCTAGAACTTTCCCAGTCTGCCCTTTAAGAGCAGCACATGTTTAAAAAAAAAGAGATTGTGCCTCTGCTCAAAGCTGAAGTGTTGCCTGTAGAGGAATCCCTTGAGAACACGTTTGCTTCTCGGGCGATCTTAAAGTTCACAGAAATGTACAAGCTATTAAATGCCAACATTTAAACACTTTTCTTCTGCAAGCTCTGTCTCTTCTTACTTAGTGAATAATGAATGCAAAGAAGACTATGAAATAAAAATGGGGAGAACAATATATTATAAGGAAATCAGATACAGAATAGAAGTAAATAAATTCTGTTGCAATTGTGAGAATACTGTAGCATCAAACAGCGGTGACTCGTTTCCATATTTAATACTGTTAGTTGGCATGAGTTGTCATGGAAACACAGTGGCATTTACCCTCCATTCTCTCTGTCTCTCCGCAGTCCCAGGGTCCTCTGCTGTTCAGTGGCTCCGCCGAGGGATGCGTGTGTGTGTGGGAGGTGTACGGTAAAGGGCCGGAGCCCCTCCGCAGGCTGCACCTCTGGGGCCCAGAAGTCACAGGGTGTAGTGGGGATGACGGGGTGAACGGGAGGCTGATTCTGAGCCCCCGCGGTGACCGTGTGTTTCTCTCGTGTGGGAGGGCCAGCATACGAATCCTAAATTGGAGAACGGGTAATATATTGATACATCTATGGAACTTTAATATTGATATTAATTAGGATTATATTTATTAATTTAATCATTAATTAATATTACTTAGGATTTTAAATATATAATATAGTTTTGGGTCGGTACAATTATTATTGATAAATTCACCACGGCTTCATTTATTTGATTAAAAACTGTGAAATATTATTACAAGTTAAAATAACTGTTTTCTGTTTTATTATATTTTAAAATGTAATTTTTTTATCCTGTGATGGCAAAATTTTCAATTTAATAATACAATTTAAAATCAATGTGTTCTATTGTAATATATTATAAAATATAATTTTTTATTGTGATGCAAAGCCGAATTTTCTGCGTCATTACTCCAGTCTTCAGTGTCACATGATCCTTTGGAAATCCTTCTAATTTGATGATTTGCTGCTTGAGAAACACTTATTATTATTATTATCAATTTTGAAAACAGTTGTGCAGCTTAATATATTTGTGGAAACCGTGATACTTTTTTAGGAGAAGATAGAAGGTAGAAGAAATAGAATGTTCAAAAGAACAGCATTGAAATAGATTTATTTGTAACAATGTAAAAGAATTGTTAGAATTGTGCATGCTTGCTGAATAAAAGTATTATTTTCTTTCAAAAAATCTTAATAACATTTTTAATGATAGTACAAGATCTTGGCTAAAAATGTATGCACCCCTTTTAATGGAAATAAATGTTGTGATGTTATTTCCATCAAGAGGTGCATCGATTTTTGGTTAAGATCCTGTATCGACAATGCAAGAGTCCAGCACTCTGTACAGTCTCCTCCAGCACATCCCAAAGACTATCAATGAATTTAAGCTCTGGGCTCAGAGGTGCCAATACATGTGTGGAAATTATTCTTCATGCTCCCTGCCAAGTTACCAGCAGGGAGCATGGTAACTTGGCAGGGTTACCAGCAACACAATCCATCAATTAGGGTTAGAAGAACTGTTGCCAAACATATAACATGCTAAAAACATAATGATCACTGCAATAATGATCCAATCATTGACTCTGAAGCATTTGCCTTATTAAATCCAAACAGCGATTTGTTTTTGTAGCCGGGCAGTGTATATACTACCATTTTTATAAACAGTTAATCTCATATGTTAATATTTGATAAAAGCAGCCCTGAAATGAAGATATTTCAGAGACATTACATAAAAGTGAGCAGATGAATATACCAACGTTTCTTTTTTTAAATTAATCTCACCAAATGAACACAATCGCTAGCCTAATGCGCCTATGTCAACATAATCCTATGATCTGCCATCAGCACCATTATTTAGTCAACATCTCATTTTATAAAGCACTTCTCATGGATATGCTGGATTCTGTAGCAATAAACATTTGACAACCCCCATTGGACCTTCATTTGTTCTTTGACTCAGGGCTATTTAACAGATTTATTAATGGAATACATCGTGACTGAGTCTATTCGCTCAGAGCTGCTAATATCATCTGTGATAAAGTCCCAGTGGCTCAGAGAACACAGGCAGGAGAGGGGGCTGTTCTCCCTAGGGCAGAGGAAGACGTAAAAACATCCAGCGCTTTCAAATTTTAATCCCGTTTTCTCACAGGATATTTGTGCTGAAGGCCAAAAAAACACACAAAAAAAACAACCTGTAAACAATTACATCAGATAAATCAGAGTTGCTGGTAGGAGCACACTACATGATGTGATGCTCTAATCGAGAGTGCTGAGCTTCATAATGACGCCAGTTCATCAAACAACTCGTAGCTGGAGCTCTCAAAGAAATAATGAGCTTCTTACAGACAGAAAAAAACATTTGTATTAACGACATAAAACACAGCAAATTCGGCAGCTATTGACAGAGTAGGAAAGGAGTCCATAAATAGACAGATTATGTGAATTTAATTACTTTTTTTCCCTGGTTTATTTGTGTTTCGGTGAATGAATGCTATAAAGATGTCCCTAATGATGCGTGTTTGCGCTCTCCAATCGTTTGCAGGCGTGATGACTAGACTAACCAATCACAGCAGCACTGCTGGTGTCACAGATTGTGTAAATCAAATACCCGGTCTTTTGATTGGTTCTTGTTTTGACCTCGCTAATGGAGAGAGCAAGATTAACCGTGAGTGATTTTAACATTCATATAACACCCCTGAAAACTGCTAGACAGTTTAATCACTCACCCTTTCTTTTTTTCTTTCTCTCACACTCTTTCAGTGTTCTCACTTCCCCAGTGCAGGTACCTGGTTTCGCTCACCTCTTCAGATCTTCCCAGAATTCTTTGTTATGCTGCGTGGCTAACAGCAAGTGGGGACCACCGTTGGGTCACAGGGGGTCGTGACCTCATTGTTTGGGAGCAGCTTCCGGGAAGTTTTAAAAAGAGGTGTGTTTTTTTAAATATAATGGTCCCTTTCGAGTATCTCAAACCCACTTCGTACATCACAGCCCCATTTCCAAGCCCTTCACTACCTACTTTATGTAATGCATTACAGTATATATCAATTCATAGACATTCACTGACACACAGTTCCTAATATAAGACTCTCCTCAATGTTTCATTTAGTCAGTATATCAATATGTACATCCGTAATGAGATACTGGCTGGAATATAGTATCTTTGGGATGCTTATTAATGAGAAGTCTGCAGGAATGCTCCAGGCACTTGACACTGAGAACGGTTGCTCACATCGAGCACTGGATGCAGAGCTGATGATCACTTTGTGAAATAAATATTGATTTCTTTGTAACTACATTTCTGTAGAGTCTAGAGATGCAGGGTCTCAACTGGTGGGATACAGGGAAAACGAGGCTGAATGCAAATAATCAAACGCAACTAGCCATTTAATTCTCCATATTTAGATTAGCAAAAAATAGAATTCTCATGTTTTTAAAAGGAGTTGAAAATCCTTCCCGTATCTTTTGTTGTTGATGTCAAAGTCTTTGCGTCTAAAATTTTGGCACTTAATCTGTCAGTTGGACGCTAGCCAAATTAGGCAGATGCCAACATTTCATGGAAATATTACTATCACTGTTTGATTTCAAGGACATTTGTTTAGTCTTGTGCACACTGCCGGCAAAAACAACTTAAAGTGTCATTAAAATGCCTGGTTTAGGGCTGGTTTGGTCTTAAACTGGTGAAGACCAGCTTGGTAAACCCCAGCTTGGTTAAGCTGAGAGACCAGATTAAATCATTTAAGACCAGATTAAATCATCTAAGACCAGATTAAATCATCTAAGACCAGATTAAATCATCTAAGACCAGCTTAGACTGTTTTAAGTTATTTTTTCTTCTTCCAGCAGAATAATAAACAATTTTGGCGTTGTGTTGGCTCACCACTCAATGTCCAATGTAAAATCCAAAACTGAAACACTTTACGTCCAATATTTAATCTGTCACTTGGAAGCTGACCAAATTAAGCAGATGCCAACATTTCATGGCAATATTAATGTCAATGTTTAATTTCAAGGACATTTGTGTTTACATTTGTACACACTGCTGACAAAAACATTTTAAATCAACCTCAAAAGTTGGTTTTCTGGTCTTAGCTGGTCTCCCTGCCTGGTCAGGCTGGTCTGTTTGCTGGTTCTAGAGTGGTTTTGGGCAATTTTCAGCTGGATTGGCTGGGAAACTAGTTGTTTGGCGAAATTTCGTAAACGATATCCAGTCATTTAAATAGCAATTTCCGCAATTGGGAGTATCACGTAAGGGCACAAAGTTGCTCACACAGATTTCGCTCATGCTCAAGTTGGTCTTGAAAGCTGCCTGGACCCTTTTTTGCCCACAAAATATTGCTAATGTGACACCTTAAGCCAGATATGAATAATATTTTTATGTCGAACTGCCTCTGCCTAACTCTTAATGATGCACTTGCTACTTCAAAAGCAGTTTGTATAATGAAGTCATTCTAAACCCATTGACAGCGCGCTGTTGTCAGCAGAGCTGCTTCTCTTTTTGCTTCAGGCTGAGTTAAACATCCTTCAGTGTGACCCAAGTGCCCTATACTGACGGTCTTCTGTTGTTTTTCTTCTAGAGGCGATGTCACAGTGAGACGAGACAGCCGATTGGAAGATTGTCTTCTGGAATCCGACAGAGACTCAGAAGATGACAATAGTGAGGGTAAGAGAGAGAGCCGAAGACAATGATGTTTTAACCTGTGTTGAATACCAACTATTTAAAAAAATATTTGAACAATCTGTTTTTTATGTATTTTTTTATGTATTCAGTTCCAAAGAAAATGTGCAATAATTCAATAATAAAACTTTTCAAGAACTTTCGACAGCCCTAATGAAAATAACTTTTTCTCCAGTGGACGATGATGAAGACTCCATAACCCAGGATGCATCTGAAACAGAGGAACCTGCAAGTTCTTCATGGCTGCGTTGTGTTCTTCAGTGAGCGAGAGGATGGGTGAATGAAAAAAGAGTGCGACAACGGGAAGGAGATTAAAGGAGGGTTAAAAAGAATGAACTGGAAAGGAAGAGCGAGAGAAGGCAAGGTCAAGGGATGACGGTGGAGTGCGAGAAATCATGCGAAGGGACTGAAGTGGAACAGATTGACTGACTGGCTGGGAAGAAACAGAAGGAGGAGAGAAACAACAGACTGTTTTCTATGTAAACGTTGATCCAATAAAACCAACCACGTTATGTCTGTGTGCGTGTGAGAGTATTTATCATCGCTGGCACTTCTGTCTATAAATATATATAGCGTTGTTCATCATGTAGGGCTCCCGTCCAATGCTACATTAATGTATATTGATTTTCCTGCCGCTGCCTCTTTGGATTTGTCCTTTCTGAATACTTTTTATTTACTTCAACTGGTCTTTGGAATATTAATCAGACACTCTTTTATTCCGTCCGGCTATTTTCGCCTTCAAAATTCATTTATTTTCTTCTCGCTGCCTATTTAATTTGAACCAGTTAAGATGCGTAATTAGTATTTCAATCTTTCCTCCAATCCTCTCTTCCTCCCTCCCTCCTGTAGCTATCTCTCTCTTTCTCTCTCTCTCTCTCTCTCCCTCCCTCTTCCGCACTCTATTTCTCACTCGCACAAATTCTACATGTCTCTGTCGCTACGGCAACCAATGCTTTTCCCCACTTCCAGGCGCTAAGCCTCTCTCCCACTCCCTTCTTCAGTGGCATGAGGTAGGCATGTGAGTCCATATCTGTCTTGAGAGTGAGAATCTGCATGTTTTCAAGTGTGTGTAGATGTGTTGCCTGGAAGTCAGAGTATGCCGTAAATCTGGATACAGATGTTGAGTTTTGTTTGATGGCTCGGGATGAGGCTTAACGTAGGGAACGCATCCACAGGTGTGTTCGCACTCGTTTGTGAGAGTGTTTTTCTGTTGATCTTGCGCTACGGTGTGTGATCTGGTGGTTTGGTTCTTAATGATATGTGTATTTTTATCCGTGTTGCCTACAGCCATCTGTTTATGGTCTTTTAGTCGGTGTCAAGACTGAAACCTCTCCCTTCCAGCTCTCCTCTCTTTTTGTCATTCTCATTTCAGAGATGATCGGAGCAGCGAGGAGCCAGTGAACAGGCAGAAGCGATGGAGCGATGGTAAGCGCAGAACAGACTGTTTTGGTTGCACTGTGCTCTCAGATCTGACCAATTAGTTTCCTGGAGCCCGTTGGGTTGCATCAGCTTCTGCTTTATGTCTCTTTCCATCTGTGCACGGTTCACGCCTCTCAGTTATGTGTTTTTTCCGATCTCTAGCCTTTCCTTTTCAATCCCTCCTTCCGTCTTTTTGTTGCTTTGTCTCTCCTTCCACCTAGCTCCATCTATCCCCACATTGGATTCTTTCCCCTTTGGAGCTTCCTGCTGGTCACTGTAATTTTTTGCACTGCCACCGGTGACACAGATGACAGAAAGTGGGAGGAGTTGGGCGAAATGCAGATGCCAGTCACCGCACAGGCCAGCACCACTCAGCTCTGGGCGGTGGACTGGGGTCCCACGCAGCCTCTGGAGGACGAAACCCATCACGTCCTGTCCAGCCTGGAGACAGAGGGTCTGAGGGTGACCCCATCTCAGGACTGGACGCATCATCGGAGTGCGGCCACCAATCAGACGCAGCGCCCAACTACTGGAGAGAGGGACAAGATAGAGACAGAGGAGCCGGACACCAAGGAAGGTTGGTATCCGTGAAATTAGTTCTTTATCTGAGAGCTGCATCGCCAACAGGGATCTGGGCTCATGCTGGTTCCTCAAAGTAGCAAATCTGCGCTTGAGGAGAGCTTAGATTTCTCTCCCATTGTGCAGAAGGCAGGCATAAATCCAATCAATACAATTTTACCTGATTATGACACTCTGCCCACTCTTTTCGCCCCCACATAGCTCCTGAAAACGGCTTCTTGTTGCTTTCACTCAAACGTCTTTCTTCACGTTCTTTTACATCTCTATTTCTTTTTATTACTTTTTTATAGGGTTGTGGGACATTCGAAATTTAATGACTTTTGAAATTCTAGTGTAATTCTTCAATTTGAATTGAGGTAGCAAACAGAATTTTCTTTTATGCATTTGGACAATGTTTTTTTAAAAGCGATTTACAATGCATTGAGGGTATATTTTAAATTAGTTTATGCACTGCCTGGAAGTTGAAGCCATGATCTTGTCCTTGCAATCACCACGCTTTACTCTTTGAGGAGTGTATTGTTAACTGTTATTCAAATGAGAACTTAAGGAATAATATTCATACAACTGCTATTAGGTGTACTTTATGAGTTGATGACATCATACCCACAAGATTACCCTTTTAGATTAGATGATGTCAATATTTGATGCTTGAAATTCAATCAATAGACCTTATTCAGAGCAGTGCCATGGCAGGTATAAAAGCGAGGCTGTGAGGGATAGACTTACCGTGTTTTCAATGGCATCCGCTGTAAAAAGCTGTACAAAGCTCCTAGATCACTTATAATTTTCCACAACTCATATTGCCTGGAGGTTTTCGTCTACTATAATTTCTTGGAAAGATATTTTTGCTGTGTTTTGTCAGCAGAACAACCCAACCCAGAAAAACGCTTTGGATAACAGTAAGATGGCGCTGCTGTGAATAAGGTCTAAAGAATTTCCATAAATAGATTTTTGTATTTTATTTAATATTTCATTTATCTATGTATTTATACACATCATTTATATATAAATATACTATATTAAATATATTAATTTATTTATTAAATGACATGTATAATGCATGCAATAATTAAATTGTATTTATTTATTTTAAATGGACCATTATGGAAGGGAACTTTATCCCCAAGTCTCCAAAATGGCACCAAAGATATATATTTTTTCAAGGATATAACCAAATATTGAAGATTTTGTGGGACCAAATGTAAATGTTTAGGAATCGGTCACTAAAAATCCACATTTGTTGGCCACGACTCTGATCATTGAAAGGAACATGTCCCCTTCCATGTCTTCCATGAACATTGGAGGGAACATGTCCCCTTCCATGTCAACCCTATTTCTCTAGCTCATTGTGTGACTGTGTTGAATTTCTTTGCATTGCAATTCAGCATGTCCTCTTCCATTCATTCCAATTCAAAGTATAATTCAGCATCACATGGGTCCAATTCAATTGAAAACCACTCGAATTGAAAGGGAGCCAATTGTTCTGTAGTACTGCTCACTCCATCTGATTATTCTTTTCCTCTGCCATTTCTTTCTTCAGTGGACCCACAGTTTTATGTGACGGTGACAATTTCATCTCTGCTGATTCTCACTGCGGTCATCATCTCTGCTAAACTCTGGTGAGACGTTTCAACACTCCTCTGCTTGCACGGTTCTGTCATACATCCCCTGAGACAGCTTGCTGCCCTGTGTGTGTGTGTGTGTGTGTGTGAGTGACTGAACAGTCAGTGTGTCGTAATGGGTTCACACAACAGATTTCCACAAACTTTCAGTCAAGGGTTCTGCTGTTCAGTAAGACTTCCCTGCATGCAGAACTGGTAAAAATGTCATTTATGGATATTCTAACTCTGCAGACACTAACAGTGAGGACACCTTACAGTGTTTTATTGTGCTGGTTTAATTAGAAATGTAGCCGGGAGCGTTGGGGGACATCAGGCACAGGAATGCATTTGTACTTACTCGGACGGTAGCATTCAATCGCATAGGTGATCATTAAAATGATATAGAGAGCTGAGGAATGGCCCATATCATCCTGAGAGTAACTATAAACACGGGGTGACAGGTTATGAGTGTGATTTATTACTACCTGCCTTAGTTTATGCTAGAATATTCCCTTTGCTGAATTCAGTTCCATTGAAACGTGTCAAAATCTTCAGCCAACACACTTGCATGGCAATTCGTAACTATATTTTACATTTTGGCAAATTGGTGGCTAATTTGTATGAATACGTTTTCGTACGGTCTGCATAGGCACAAAGTATACTTTTGGTTTTTGCATACGCTAGGATATGTCTCTATTGTGCAACATAAATTTTGTCAAACAGCATTATACACGTACATACTTTTTTTTTTCTAACCGCACAAAATTTTTATTGCTTATAACTTCTGGAGAGAAACAGTTCAGACATTGTACACTAGAGAACTTTCTAGTGTGCATGCAATGTATCGAATGTCTGTGAATGCTAATGTACTTTGAAAAGCTGTGCGGTCCACTGTACCCAGATGCTACATGATATAGGCATATACAATGATAAATAAAAAAATACTGTGATAAAACATATCAATTTGCAATATCAAGCAGCAACAGATTGTTTTTGTACACCTAAAAGAACTGGAAACACCGGAAGTCTCGCACATTCAAGTTAATGGCCGCACCAGCTCGTATATCAGAGCGAAATGGCTTCTCAAACAAGAAAAAATGTAAGGCAGGACTTGATTTTGTCCATCCAAACTGCCCGCGAAGGCACAATTGATTGGATTGCTGTTTGTAAATTTATGTCTGAGCATAGCCTATAGGCCTATATTGATTTCATGGTGACTTTAAAAATAACTAGGTAGGCTATACAATTTTAGGAGGTGGCGATTTCGTATTCTTTGTATGATGAGATTGTACAATGAGATTCTTTAATGTAAGCACGAAGGTCAACCCCCTAAAGCGGAAATGAGAAATTAGGGGTTTAATCCGCTTTAGGGGGTTGACCTTCGTGCTTACATTAAAGAAAAAACAATTCTGTACGAATCACCGTACTAATACGAAATCGCCACCTCGTAAAATTGTTACGTTTTCTTATCAGGTTGCTTCAGCCTGTTCCATAGCCTACTTTCTTTACGCTGCGGTAAAGCAAGGGTGCAGCCGTGCAGGTACTACAAATCAGACATTATGGGACTGTTTGAGAGCTTGTTTGTAAGATCGATAAAAAGGTCACATATCGCGAACTCCCGATAGGTTTATGTTAACGTGAAGCCGCCACTCACGTAGAAGATCAGACCGGCGTTCATCTGAGTGAGCCGAGGGCGATTTTATTGCATACACAAGCTACATCTCCGTAATTAATCTCTGTTTGCCGCACACTTGCCTTGACAGACACCCTCGCGCTCGTTTAACATCACCCAGCCCTCCACCCGTCATCCCGTCAGAGCAGAGGTGGAGTGAACTACTCCTGAGTCACTGCAGATAAGTGCGTGTCGGTGTGGGGTATTAATATTACATGGGACGTCACACAGAGTCTGCGACACTTTGTCTTCCTCGTGGTTGCTGGACAAATATGATTTTAACTGAATATTTCAGCGTCTCTCTCTCTCTCTCTCTCTCTCTCTCTCTCTCTCTCTCTCTCTCTCTCTCTCTCTCTCTCTCTCTCTCTCTCTCTCTCTCTCTCACACACACATTCATTCGCATGCTTTAATTTCCCCTGCTCTGTTTTTTCGCTTAAGGCAGTCTATTAAATTAAGCCAGTGAGTGAATGAACTTCCTGTCAGTATCACTGAAAAGTTTGCCTTCTATTCCTTTATATTCTTTAATCCCTCTTTTCACACCTCTTTCTCACCTTTTCCAGTGTTCTTGAATATTTCACTGGCTGTTGTCCTAATCTCTCTCTCTCCCTCTCTCTCTCTCTCTCTCTCTCTCTCTCTCTCTCTCTCTCTCTCTCTCTCTCTCTCTCTCTCTCTCTCTCTCTCTCTCTATCTCTTTTTCTCATTCAGTTACGACCGCAGTCTCTCCCAGCGTCCTCCACCTCTCTCCCTCGCCATCCCTCGTTCCATAGCTCAGGAGGACAGCAGGCAGACACTGCACAGCACTCCATCCTTCTCCGACAGAGAGAGGTAGCGTGCGTATTTCTGTAAGCCTGTGAGACAGCCAGGGTGCCAAGACTGGTTTAGGGACTTAGTGTGTGTGTGTGTGTGTGTGTGTGAAAGAGGAAAAGCCAGAGTTAGCAAGACTGGTAAGCCAGTCACTGACTGTCAAAGGGAACAACATAAATAAATAGTAAATGTTCCCAACAAAGAACACAAGTAGGGACTACACTAAATTTGACTGATTTGTTCATTTAAAAGCATGTCATGGTGTCTGTGGATCCTTATTAAAATGTCAAAGGCCTGGTTTCACAGACGGAGCTTAAGCCAAGTTCAATTAGGACATTTAAGGAGCTTTTATAAACATGTCTTAGAAAAAACATTACTGGTGTGAATCATGAGACATAACAATGGCACTGACATATTTTAAAATATGTCAGCAAGTTGCTTTCAGTTAAAACAGCTCAAACATTAATTTTAGTCTGGGACTAGCTTAAGCCTTATCTGTGAAACTGAGGGTACGTTTTCAAAAAGCATTGTAAATAGTACAGAAATGGTCTTGTTAAGACAGACTAAAAGGATTATGATAAATATGTACGTACACTACCGTTCAAAAGTTTGGGGTCAGTGAGAATTTTATTTTTATTTTTTGGAGGAAAGAAATCAATACTTTTATTTATCAAGGACAGTAAAGACATTTATAATGTTACAAAAGATTCTATTTCAAACAAATGCTGTTCTTTTGAACTTCCTATTCATCAAAGAATCCTAAAAAAACAAAAACAAAAAAACTGTACAACTGACAGACCAACAACTGTTTCAACATTGATAATAATAATAAATGTTTCTTGAGCATCAAATCCTCATATTATACTGATTTGTGAAGGATCATTCGACACTGAAGACACTGACACTGGTGATGCTGAAAATTCAGCTTTGATCACAGGAATAAATTACACTTTACTATATATTCACACAGAAAACAGCTGATTTACACTGGAATAATATTTAATACTATAACTGATTTTTGTTGTATTTTTAATCAAATAAGCGCAGCCATGGTTAGCAGAAGAGAATTCTTTTAAAAGTATTTAAAATCGTACCGACCCCAAACTTTTGAACGGTAGTGTATATAGGTACAATGTTGTGTATTATGAATTATATTGTGACAAAATAAATTATTAAGATTAAATTATATCATAAAATAGTATTAGATTAAAAATGTATTATTTCATGAACTAATTTAGTGAAAAACTGTAAGTGGAAAATGTAAGTGGTCTATTTGAACTTTTACTGTTAGCTTTTACTGTAGCTTATGCATATTTTGTTGGAAACAAATAAATAAATAAATATTAAGATTAAATTTATATTTGTTTCATAAACTCCTTTGGTGAAAATCTGTAAGTGGAAAACAGGCCTAATTATTTGAAGTGGATTTCTACTTCAGTTTAGTTCCCCCATGTATTGTTAGATATAAATAAATAAATAACTAGTATTTATCAAATGTATTAAATCATTAATTTTAAAAAAATGTGTTCAATTAATTAAATTAGTATCTATTTTAGTTGAAAAATGCATGTACCCTGTATGCATATCATCACGGCTGATTGTGTGAAAATGAAGGTGTGTAAATAAGTGTGTTGTTAGATCAGTGGTAATGGCTTGCAATACAAAACAGCCAGTTAGGCATTGTTGTGGATGTTTTCTTCAATCGTTGTGAATATTTTAACAGGAGCGATGCAGAGCGAGAAAGAGAGCGTGCCATCCATGAAATCAGACCCCTTCCTGCTGCTCTGTGCATTTCAGAATTAATCTCACTCTTGATAATAGAGTGAGACCCTTATTAATTTCATTTGCCGTGTCTTTCTTCATCTCTTTACCCCTCGCTGCAGGATACCAGTGGTCAATCTTTGAAGAGCCGACTTTTCTGAGCATGGTAATCAAATCCCGTGGGCATGACACAGACTTTGGTGTGAACACAGGGCAAACCATCCGAATGTACATAAAATGCAGATTGACACATGTGGCTATATGGATGAATACATCTGCTGGACACTCTGATGGAGACTATGAGGTTTTGTGGTCCAATGGCTCTTTGTTTCTGGCTGTACCTCTTTCTTCCAGTGCCGTTTGTACAGTGTTATATTCATTAGCTCAACGCAGCCATTCACAAGGGCTCCGGGAATGCTATGTCCTCTACCATGAAAACAATCATTAGCTTCTGATCTTGGAATAAGCTGTGATGTATGTAGTCATTAATTTAGTAACCGGCGTGACATGCTTGCAGTGGCCTATCTCTCATGCATACAAAGGTTACAGCTGCCTACCGCTGCCTTTATCGCACTTTGTGTAGCATTTATTTGGGCTTAGTGAATGACTGCAGTTATTTTGAAGAGTTAAATATAATTTACATCATCTGTTTATAGTGTTTTGTTTCATATGGCTCTGTCTCGTGGCAACAGCAGTGACGTCAGCTGATAAAAACAGATATCTGGAAACACCACTGCAGTGTTACCTTATAATTTACTCGAATTATCTGACGAACGTTTTCGTAATTCTGGCTCAACATCTGTTGAGGTGTTCGTGAAACTTAAGTAATTCTATTCCATACTTCTAAATCATGGCCATATATCTCTTCTCGGGGGCGTTTGAGACCTTGATAGAGAGAGGAAATAAAAGAGTCTTTTTGGTTAGCAGAAGGCTAGCACACACCGAAATGACTGATGTGTTTGATATATTCGTGTTGTTTATGTAAAGCACAATTAAGGACATGTATGAAGACAAACTGAAAAACAAGCTTGGTGCTTCCATGGCATATTTAGTTTGAAAAGCAGTTTAAAAATATGCCACACAAGTTTGTTTGATGTCTCGCTACGCTAACAACCCATGGCTAGCGAGGCAGCTTGGGGATTCTTATTTATATTTATGAACCGCAACTATCAGGAGGGTTTGGGTTTTCAGACGGTTGAAATCTTTTTAAATCTGTTCTGTAGTCTGTGTGAATTGCTACTGATTTTACTTCTGTATTTTGACATATTTGATGTATGAAAGAGGATATTGGCTTTCTGTTCCAGAAGGGAGCCAGACAAAATTGTTAAAGCTATGCGTGAATAGCTATCTGGTAAATGTTTAACATTATCCAATAGAATGCATCAGTGCCCGCCCACTTTTTCAGCGGCCTTGATTACCGAAGTATTTTTCCCATAGAGATTTTGTCTGTGTAAGATTTATAAGCCATGAACCAAAACAACCAGCTATAAGCTGAATTACAACATTACAAACTTTGATTTGAAGCAAAAAAGTGAAAATTTGAAACCTGGACAAAAAGACAATGAATTGGTACAAGACTGCATTCTTAATAGCTTTAATCAGGGAAAGAACTACAATCCCATGAAGATTGCCAATGACATAATTGAACTAAAAATGATGGAGATTGATTTAAAGATGTTGAATAATGTATATTGAAACAATATATTTTAAGTTCATTCATATATTATGCATACAAATATTTAAGTAGTTTGAGAGGATAGGGAGACTGACTACATCAATCGCAGTGTTTAATATGAGTGGGCGGCCACTAAATTGTTCTTTTGGAGTGATTTGCTTGTTGCGATTGATTAGTGAAATTTTCTGTACAGCATCATGGGTAATGTAGCTTTTCATCATGCATTCAGATGTTCAACATGATTATTAAAAAAAAGTTTGAATAATGCAGACTGATGGCTCCAACAGAAGCATATACCATCGATTAACAACCTCATAGCTTAATTAGGTCTTTCTAATGGTTTATAAGTTATCGTTAATAATCAGTTCCCCTATGGAGAAACTGAATGGTATTTTTACTTCCGGAACCAGACTACTGTAGCTCTCTATAGCCTGTGCGGTCTAAGTGATGTCATCGCACAAGGAAAGTCGTTTCAGAGGAGGAGCAAGTTTTTACTTTTTATTCAAGATTCAAAGACAAACTGTTTTTTTCTTTAGAATATGCACTGATGAATTGTTCACAATATGATGAAGAACAAAACATGATCAGTTTTGATTTATATTGATACATATTGACTTTAAACCAGAAAGAAAAAAAAATCCTTCTTTAAGCTGTATTTTTCAAGAAAATCATAATCACCCCCTCTCAAATAGCCATAACTCATGAAAAACACTAAATTGAATTCTCAATTTTTCACATCATGCACAAGAAGCTACACTATGTGAGATATGTTTAGAGGTTTCACATCATTTATGTAGCACTGCCTTAAATATGTGGTTCATTGTACTGTGAAGTCAATAAAAAGCCATCTCTGGTGTTTTAAAATGTGTTTCTGTGGCATGGTTTTTGAAAGGACTGCCTCTATGACAGTGACTCATACAATCACGCACAGCAGAGTCAGGCCAAAGGGACACCGGGAGGATTCATTAGCCATTGCACAGCAACAAAACACCAGGACACAAACACACTTCACACGTTCACTTCAGACACACACACTGTATGTAAGCTGCAAGAGTTCACAGCTCCCATCTGCTAAGAGATGAGAGACTGAGAAACACTGAACCTCAGTCACGCTGACTGAAATTAACACCACTATTTATAGAGAGAGAAAAAGAGAAGATGTGTGCTTAAAAAAGGATCATAGATTTTGAGGTGGATGGATTTTTACAGACACAAAAGAGAGAGGAGGCAGGGGTTAATGTAAAAGTAGATCATCACTCTCCGCTTTTTATTGTTCGCCTCATTTCTAAGTGGCTACCACAAGTTAATCGCTACCATTACAGACCATTATGCAGGACAGAGAAAGAAACATTGCTTTAGTCAGCCTTTATGGCTGGATAAATGGCTCACATAACACACTAGTGGGAAGAGTGTATGTGCTGAGAGAGAGAGAGAGAGAGAGGAAACCAGGATGTTATTTCAGGGCTCCGACATTAAAGTGTGGCTAATTAATGTCATGACCTCTTAACAGACATGCCCCCATTGAGACGAAACATTTAGCTGCACTTAACATTAGAGAAAAGGAAACATGAAAGCCAGAGACTACACAGGGTGACAGATGGATATAATTTATTCATTTGCTTCATCAATTTACATCCAGATTTAATAACGAACAAAAACAAACACGCAAAGGAAAAGGAGTATGAGTCAAATGAAATTACATTTACAGCACGCACGCATATGAACACGCACCCAGCGTTATGTAAAAGTTGTATCTGTGTTAGACTATGATGATGGTCTATGACTGAGAAGTGGCCATCGGTTGGTTTATCTGTCTATACAAGCAAGCAGTCAACAATATGTGTGTCTGTGAGCGGGTTACTGAAGATTGAGATCAATTAGACTTTGACCAAATCTTTCCGCTCCCACGAAGCCTGAAACATACAAAAAGAAAGAATTGCTCAAGTGGGGATTTGCCATTATAATGATACTTTATGATTTTCCTTGTGGCTATAAATAGTGGTGAATATTAATAATTATCTGGCCCAATTTACATCCATTCTGAATGCTTGAAAAAAATCGCCAATCAACATTATGCCACAATTGATCTTAACTTACATAGAACCCAAGACATTCCTTTACTCTATTTACCTCATATTTTAATAATCACATAATTATTATTTGAAAGTTAGCAGCAGCACACGGACAAGGAATAGTCCTGAAATGTTAATGACGAGTCTCCACTGAGACGCCTTTAAAACCTTGGACTCAGATTAATCTCTGTCAGACCGGCCCTGAATAAATTATACCTCTTCTTAAGTGAAATTCTTTAGTGACAAAGAAAAAGCAGTGGTGATCAAAAGCCCCCCTCTCTTTCCAGAGCACATCCTGACATGAGATTTCTAAACCAGGACAGAGACAATTTTAAACTCACCGGGGCTTAATTAGGACTATAAGCCTGTGGGTGATTTCTTATACATCACACTTATGTAAAGGCAGGAAGCAGTACATAAGCTCACTGAAACAGCGCGCAAAAACATTCATAAATCATATTCTGTGTGCTTAAAAATGCCATTAGTAAATATAAACTTCCTGAGTGTTGATTTATGTGAGGTCAGTAGTTTTAATAGCAAAAAAACTACACAGGGGTTCTTTAATATAAATCACTGTGATGTTTTATAGAGTTATGGTACATTATAAAGTTATTTATAGACTAAGATCAATTGAAGGGAATTCTGAAGCACTAAACCCTAAAATACAATTAACTTACCCTTTGACCTTTGAACTCTTTTTTCCTGGTTGCCGTGGTTCCTGAGAGGAGGCAGGGTCTCTTGGCTCGGCCGGCTGGTCTGCATCCTGATTGGATGCTGCTCCAGCAGGGGCGGGGCCAGATGATGGGGAAGCAGAACTTGCCTTGAGGGTTTTCTGTAGGTTTGATACCTAATTAAAGAGGCGAGAAGAAAATTGTCACTGAATCCTGGAGTTGTCAAATAAGTAAAATAAAAATGAACTCTTTTAACATACAAGAAAAAGAGGCTGTTATATCATATGCAGATATACATGGTATATCAGCTTACTACTGCAAAGTGCACTGCATATATCCTATACTGCCTAATATATAAGCATTATGCCACAATAAACACTTCAAACTATATTATGCTACATTATTACTACTGTAACCAATAAATATGGTTATTTTGCATATTTATCCAATGCTGTGTAAAAATGCATAAACTGATCGCACACTATATACTTCAGCGACAGTAAGAGTTTTTTAGTATTCTGAATTTAGACTTAATAAACTGTTTAATTTTACCTCTCAAACAGGTAAGCACATAAAACAGCCTTCGTATATGAGTCGGTGAAGTCATGCTTTTTTATCATTAATAAATATGAATTTGTTCAAAATACATTCAAAATGGACATCATACACACAATAACTTGAATACACCTCTTCTATGATGAACATGTTTTTGATTCCTGATATGACATTCATTTTGATATTTTTGGGGAAGCTTAAAGTAAGAAATGTCAGGGTGATGCAACTGTCCTGAAATCATAATGAAGAAAAAAGCCTCAAAAGAATGAATTTCATAGTTAGTACTAGTAGTTTGGCATTATGTTTTATTATTTATATAAAGTTTATATATTTACATTGTTATAATTTATATATATTTAAAATTGTAATTATAAATTATAATTAATTAACTATATAATTATTAACTATAGTCTGCTAAGTCAAAGTAAAAAAAAAAAAAAAAACTCGAAAAATATATTTTAAAACCTTTATGAAAACAATGATTAAATTTGTACACTTACATGTATCCAAAGTATAACGAAAATATGTTTACTTTTTACCAAACACATGGAATTTTAGGGTCAATTGAAACTTGAGATGATATTAAAACAAAATTCTAAGATCTTGGCAAATGTGTTTTAAACTAGATTCTTAAAAAAAACTCTCTTACAGTTGTGTCCAAAAATGATGTCTGGAGGGGATATTTGTTTTTAATGACTATATTGTCTTTTAAAAAAAAAATACTTAAAACACTAAACTTGGTTAAGGTATTTATCAGACAAAATTATATGGCAATAAAGGCAAACTACAGCTACATGTTTTATTCTACTATGCCAAAAAAAATGCATAAAAACAATAAGTTCACAGAAAAAAGCATACATGACTACAACATAATCAGTTATTAATATTTTGTTGATTTTCTCTTGTTTTTGCATGTGTGCATTATTTCTTTGTTAGACAACCTGGCCAAAAATGTAATATGTCCACACAATTTGACATCTTCCATTGCTTTATCACAAATAAAACTGACTCCAAGAACAACTACGTAATACGATTACAAAATATTTAACAAATTTGAATACTATTTGAGTATGTGAATTTTCCTAAGCCAGACATAACTTTTGGTCACTACTGTATATGTCACTAAGGGTGGGTGAAGATTCACACACAAACCTCTGTTTCCACTTGAACTTTGACCTTGAGCTGGCTTTCTCTGTACTGATTGGCTCTTGACACCTGCTCCTCAATGCCACACAGAACTGCTTCACAGCCTGCACACCTGAGCGAGACAGACAGAATATTTAACACCAACACACAAGGCATTTCCTTTTTTACATCAGCGACAGCATCCATCGCGCTCCATACTGACACAAACACAAATGAACACTTACCACTCCTGCAGTGTGTTGGCAATGTTGGGTAATTCGTTGGGGCCCAGGTCTCGACCTATGCTGCAATCTACCTCGACCTGCTGGTTCCTCTGGTCCAGTTTCCCGTGGATAATGTCACTGTAAACAGCCTCGATCAGCAGGTCTTCCAGCTCACGCACATTCTTCAGCTCTAACTGCTGGAGCAGTAGTGAATACGGCAGACACTATCGAGAGACAAAAGCACAAAGAGGTTTGTTTGCTTTGTTTCTTATGATTAGTGTGCTCTGGGGTTAGTTAAAACTTTTCATTTTTGCCTTGGTATTATTATAGAGGCTTGATAAGAAAACACTGGTTTTGTCAATCATGCAAGTCAATAACAACACTAATAGCACATACAGTTAACATCTGTGTGCCGTTCATAACAGAGCTCATTAAAACAGCGTTAAAGTCGGCATAAAACAGATGGTGCGACAGCCCTTTCTTTCCTACTGTGACGTATCTAAGGCCACATTCAGACTGTGTGGCCCAAATCCGATTTTTTTTCTCATATGCGACTCAGATCTGTTTCTATCATGAGTTTGAACAGCACAAACCACATCTGATCTGTGGAAGGACAGTGATGTGTCAGAAGTCAGAACTCGTAAGTATTACAATGACAGCTCTATATACAAGCAAAACATTAGGGCTTGTTTCATAAATGTTTAAAACTCTGGTCTTTTTTCACATCCTCGTCTTTGTTTTTTTATATTGCCTGCGCATAAATTCGCTGGCTTCTGCAGCAGATCACACTATAAATAAAAGCGCAATTGCTCACTTTAATGTCCTCCTTCCGCATGACAGCGTGCTGCGTGACGTCTTTCTCGTCTTGACTTTTGCACATGCGGGTCAGTCCAGGACCATGATCTGTTCACACTTGAATCTGATATTGGCCACATTTAAAACAACGTGAACAGCTATACAAAAAAACAAAACATATCTAAAGCTCACAGTGTGAATGCAGACTAAGTGAAATGCCTTTCAGACTACAAAAAATGTAGGGCGGCACTTGATTTTGTCTATCAGGAATTGAGTGGACAGTTGGAAGGTTGTGGTTTTCTATTGCTGTGATCTCATGTGAGTGACAGGTTGTCCCAACCTCACATCACTAAACACATCATCAGAGAAAAGATGCCGTTGAAAGAGGGAGGGAAGTTATTTTGAAGATTACAAAGGCACATTAATGTTTATAAAAATAATGATCTACACAGATAAATCATTTATAATTAATACTGCATAAATTGTCAATACTGATTTCATGGTTTGTTTAATAAATGTATCACTACCTTTAGATTGGAGGCCAGGCTGATGATTGACAGGTGACGGAGTTTGTTCTTCTGGGCGGGTGTGAGTTCAGGAAGTGAGGCTGCCCTCTCTAAATGGCAGACATACATTAAATTAACATACATTATAACCAAGCGTACAGCCAGGAGGGAAATAACTGATTACATTAAAGCCCTGGTAAAATCTGCAACAGAACATGGGCCAGAGACTCCCGCTTCCCTCTCACAGGAGTTAACTTATTTAGCAAGGCAAAGGGCAGCATATACAGTCTCATTCTGAGTCAGAGCAGGGAATAAACCCACTGCCTCAGGGGGCCAATATCTGGTCAGATCATTTGTTGTCATGGTTACCTTTATAGTCGCAGTAGGTTCCATACGCAAAAAGATTGAGAAGCTGGTACACTGGAGCATGGGGACCCGTCTCCAGCTAGAGAGAGGGAAAGCGAAGTACAGACAAAGATTGATATGACAAAGTGTTGAAGTATTTTGTGTTTAGCACTAGCAGATAAGCACTTTAGTTCAGCTCGGTAGAAAATAAATGGCAGTGCAGTACATGGATATTCTGGGATCTCTGAGCAATATGTGGCAGAGATTCTTGCATGACCTGTAATGCAATAATGATGACATCTGTTGACTTGCCAGTTTGTTTTATTACAGCACTCTTAGCAAACATCAATATAATAATATATATATTATAATAAATATATACATTACCATTCAAATATTTGGGGTCTTAACGTTTCAAAAATTTGAACAAAATTATTCAGAATTAAATTGATAAGTGACAGTAAATATGAATATATTAAAGATTAATATTTCAAATAAATGCTGTTTTTTTCTATTCGTCAAAGAATCCTGAAAAAAAGGTATCATAGTTTCCACAAAAATATTAAGCAGCACAACAGATTTCAACAGTGATGATAATAATAAATGTTTCTTGAGCAGCAAATTAGAAGATTTCTGAAGGTTTGGTTTTAGACAGCATGGAAAAACACATCAAGAAAGAAAACACTTGAGCAGAAGATTAATCACCATGACATTAAAGATGACACACAAGCACTGCCATTTCAAATAATTAGGCTAGACACAGAATTCATATAAAGTCATCAAGTCTGACTGAAATAGATTTTCCAGCACATATTCCTCACCTCACGGACGTTGGGCAGTTCTAGTATGTCTGAGAAAACATAGAGGCCTGGGGTTTCCAGTAGAGAGCTGATGGCCTGAGCCAGAGCTGGACCTGAGAGAGACAGCAGCTGATCCACCTCCATCTGACGGGACAGAAAGCGTTTAAACAACCCAGAGCCCAGCATCTCAAAGAATTAGGTAGTATTAAAAGCTAAAGAAAGTTTGCATTTCATAAATAAAGAGAAATGTGTTCCGACTTCTTAACTGCAATAGTTGTTCTAATTAAATCTGTACCAGCAAGCCTCAATAACTCATGTACAATAAACCTGTTTCATTGGGCTTGTTAAATGGCTGTTGATCCACAGCAATATGCTTTCGATGACACTTTGATGCAGGGATTTAATAAGACAGGTGGCTCACGGTTAAATTAACTACATTATCAGAGTGAAGTTATGCATGATGCACTTTCATGATGATTAAAACAAGGCTGCCAAGTGCACTAGGAGATTACAGCTCTGAGACAGCCAAAAAAAAAACGATGCGTTTAAATGCACTTGACACAATACGCTTATTTGGGAGATCAAAAATGATAATGAAAACAATGCATGTGCCATTGCAACACTTTTGAAAACAAGCATAATAGTGAACAAAAGTGTGACTGGTGTTCATCCACAAAGTCAATAGGTTTCAGCAAATAAAAACATGATCTAACCGTAGATATACTTTGTTAAATGGGGTCTAAACGCATTCTGTGTTGTTTAATACTCATAAACAGAATAAACCAGTCAGCTCGTGCTCAATGTTGAGCACCCGGTATGAAATTCATCAACACAGCACCAGCTAGGCCTTGCCGTTGTTAAACTAATGTCGTACATAAGCACACAGCGTTGAAAACTTTACCAAGCATGCTCAAATGTATAATATTAATGTGCGACCACATTTCGCGTGCTGAAATGTGCCGCCAAAGCGATATAGTTACCTTATTTATAAAGACTGAGGTTGTTTGTGTCAACTGTGGTGCCACTGCTATTTCCGTTAGCAAGCGTGCTACGACATAAAAACGTGCCCTCTGATTGGCGGAGTGGTAGAAGGGAGGGTGTGACCACAGAGCGATTACGAGGTGAGCGGACACACATCGCCACCGTGTGGTCACGAGAATTATAGATTCTTGGGATGTGTTAATCTACTACTAAAAATGTTAATATTAATACTAATAATACTAATAATATTTTAACTAAAAATAATATATATATATATATATATATATATAATAAAATACATATTCCATTTGTTTACTAATACAAAATGAAGCATGAGCATTTAGATTAAAACATTTATATAATTAATCTACATCCATCTTCACATTATCACATATATGACATTAGCTGCGTCCAAATGTTTGACTGGTAGAGAAGCTTTGTGAAAACACAGAGTAGCTTAAAAAATAGCCTAACTGTCGTGTACTGTCATAACATGATCTTGTGTTGAACTGTCTTGTATTGAATTCTGCTTGTAGTTCAACAGGGTGCTCAAACAATCAAACAACCTTTGGTTTTCCCTGCTGACAAAACCAGCTTAAACCACCCTTAGATGGTTTATCATTCTTAGTTTGTTTATTCCCAGCCCGACCAGCTTGTCTGTAGACTCAATTGTATTGTGTTTGATTGCATATAATACTTTTTTTTAAAAATCTTTGGTGCCTTGGGAAAGTGGGTGGTGATGAGTGGAAAAAACATTATTGTGCAATGTTTTCAGCTTTTTCCAAATGTCTAGTCAAATTAAAGACACACAAACTACACTGAACCTTAACCTCTGAGAATGTCACTGTTTATTTAAAAGAAGGAGGGCAATAGAAAAATAGATATAGGCTACATTTTTACACATTTCAATTTCAATTCAAATGTTAAAGGTGATAGGATCCATCTCACAGATACGTTTATAACTGAAATCACAGGGCACGTCAAACCAGGTTTTCGAATGCGAGTCCAGCACTGCGCAGTCTTCTCCATGAACCCCTCCTGACTGGTGATTATTGGGCTCTTTATGCCATTCATTCCAGTACCTACAGAGAGCAGCGGAACAACCAGGAAAACATCATTATCCCATACAGTGATGTCAATTTAGCAATTTTGTTGTTAGATTTAGCAACTTTTCAGACTACCCCAGCAGCTTCTTCGTTTCCCCCCAAAAAAGCACCTAGTAACAAATTGAGCTATTTTTAAAATTTATTTATCAAAAATTGCTAACTGAAACAAGTGTACAATTTTACCCTCTATAACAATTGCATACTGTATAGCAGGTAGGCTACTGCATTTGGTTTGAAACTTATTTTGTGACCGTTAAAAAAGCATGTTCTTAGAGGGCAATTCTTAGACTATGGGCACTTTCATGTCCTTTGATCATATTTTATAAAAAAACATTTAATTTTGAAAAATTCACACTTTCATTGTTAACTTTACAATGAAAGTACTTTAGAAACTTTTTACCGGTAGTCTACGATGATTTTTTCACCTTTTTAAATATCATTATAGATGCAAATATTGCTGTTTTGTGCTTGTCCCACACCCAGACTTCTGATCTTCAATAATGAAAAAGAAGTGTAAAAAAATGATTTATCTATTTTTTTTTTATATGACTGTATAAAGTATCAGTAAAATAATCAAAACATAATTGTGGTATTTAAGGTCAGACAACTATTAATGTGATTTTATATACAAAATGTAGTTGTCCCACAGTATTGCCGTCATTTCCACCACAACGATGTAATGTCCCTTTTAAAAGGCTTTTTTGAAAGATTAGGCTTGTTTGAGATGCGCCTTGCCTCGCCTGAAATGTAGTCGAGAGTAGGCGGCTGCAGTGAGAGGAGGAGTGAAAAAAGCGCAGGCAAGCCGGACAGATCGCTCTTCTCGCAGTGGATCTGACACCTGTGAGATCAAAGGCGGATATCGCGGGATTCACGGGATTCACACTCGTGCACGGTGTTGCTAATAAATGGATGTATTTTAAGTTTTGTTGCTTGAATATGAAAATAAATATAATGAACAAAACACCCAAAGTACTTATTTAATTCCATTTTAAATAGGCCTATATGTTTATGAATAATTTTTTCTTTAATACAGATAGGCCTATGTGTTTTTTTTTTTTTTTTTTTTTTAAATTACATCACATAGATCGCACTGTCAGAGAGTTTGGGGATATCCACAATTTATCTATACACATAAAACATGATATCAGAGATTTAAAATCAAACATTTTAAAAGAGAACAATACATCACGGTTGTTTAAACCAATGAGCATTAAGCTGTGCCGTCAGCAAGTCGTTTCCCATCATGCTTTTGATCAGCGCAGTCGGTGGAGAGCAACTGCGCGCGACTGCAGAATCCGACACGTGCGCCTTGCGGTCGCGAGAGTTTTTTGACACACGTCAGCATGACATCAGAGCAAGGCGGACCGCACTCGGACACATTTCTAACCAGCATGCATCTCGCGCTGATCACCGGTGATCGGTTCTGCGCAGATTTTGCTCATCTCAAACCATAGACATGATAGGTGTGTTCGACATCGGCTGCGGCTGGATGTAAGCGATCGGCGAGAGTAGCCGCGTGCAGGCGGGGAGGAGCTGCAAACGGAGACGTGAAGTCGGAAGGTGTGTTCGACATCGGCTGCGGCTGGATGTAAGCGATCGGCGAGAGTTGCCGCGTGCAGGCGGGGAGGAGCTGCAAATGGAGACGTGAAGTCGGACACTTTCTGGTTCCCGTAGTGACCGCTCACATGAGGCTTGTTCGACTTCATGCAGCTCTGCGCAGACCGATCGGCGGCAGACTTGAAGCAGTGCATGCCGGTTAGAAATTTTGTCCGACTTGATACAGCGCCGACGCCACGTGACTGTGACGTATGCCATCAAAGTACCGCGAGAGCGATTCGAGAGTAGCCGGAGAACTCAGCCAGCGCAGCTTCTGAAGAGCGGCTGCTCTGGGCTGCACGAGCTCTGATGACGACACAGCTGTTCCACGATTGGCCGGATTCACCGCATGACAACGATCACTTGCGTTTCGTGTTTATTCTCACACCTTTAGTTCACACAAATCAGTTTTTTATAACAGTAAACACTCTTTTCATGTAGTCGTGATGTTAGGCTATATTGTGTTATGTTTATCAAAATAAAAGTGATTAAAAAACGTCGACTGCACTTCATTGATAGTGGCTATTTTGAACTTTATTCTTGTTCAAACAGATGCAGTATGAAGCAGTACATAAAGTATTGAATGAAAATGTGTCTGAAACATCTGTGCATTTGGCAAATATTGAATTTATTTCACTTCAGCTGTGGTAAAGTATACAAACACCACGAGCGGTCACTACGGGAACCAGAAAGTGTCCGACTTCACGTCTCCGTTTGCAGCTCCTCCCCGCCTGCACGCGGCTACTCTCGCCGATCAGTTACATCCAGCCGCAGCCGATGTCGAACACACCTATGGTGTTTGCATACTTTACCACAGCTGAAGTGAAATAAATGCAATATTTGCCAAATACACAGATATTTCAGACACATTTTCATTCAATACTTTATGTACTGCTTCATACTGCATCTGTTTGAACAAGAATAAAGTTCAAAATAGCCACTATCAATGAAGTGCAGTCGACGTTTTTTAATCACTTTTATTTTGATAAACATAACACAATATAGCCTAACATCACGACATGAAAAGAGTGTTTACTGTTATAAAAAACTGATTTGTGAGCTTTAGTGGAACTAAAGGTGTGAGAATAAACACGAAACGCACGTGATCGTTGTCATGCGGTGAATCCGGCCAATCGTGGAACAGCTGTGTCGTCATCAGAGCTCGTGCAGCCCCGAGCAGCCGCTCTTCAGAAGCTGCGCTGGCTGAGTTCTCCGGCTGCTCTCGAATCGCTCTCGCGGTATTTTGATGGCATACGTCACAGTCACGTGGCGTCGGCGCTGTATCAAGTCGGACAACATTTCTAACCGGCATGCACTGCTTCAAGTCAGCCGCCGATCGGTCTGCGCAGAGCTGCATGAAGTCGAACAAGCCTGGACACTTTCTGGTTCCCGTAGTGACCGCTCACGTGGTGTTTGTATACTTTACCACAGCTGAAGTGAAATAAATGCAATATTTGCCAAATACACAGATGTTTCAGAGACATTTTCATTCAATACTTTATGTACTGCTTCATACAGCGTTGGTTTGAACAAGAATAAAGTTCAACATAAGCCTACAGCTAGGCCTACTATCAATGAAGTGGAATCAACGTTTTTTAATCAGTTTTATTTTGATAAACATAACACAATAAATCGCGACTACATGAAAAGAGTGTTTACTGTAATTAAAAAAACTGATTTGTGAGCTTTAGTGGAACTAAAGGTGTGAGAATAAACACGAAACGCACGTGATCGTTGTCATGCGGTGAATCCGGCCAATCGTGGAACAGCTGTGTCGTCATCACAGCTCGTGCAGCCCAGAGCAGCTGCTCTTCAGAAGCTGCGCTGGCTGAGTTCTCCGGCTACTCTCGAATCGCTCTCGCGGTACTTTGATGGCATACGTCACAGTCACGTGGCGTCGGCGCTGTATCAAGTCGGACAACATTTCTAACCGGCATGCACAGCTTCAAGTCTGCCGCCGATCGGTCTGCGCAGAGCTGCATGAAGTCGAACAAGCCTAATATATACATTAGGTGTGTTCGACATCGGCTGCGGCTGGATGTAAGCGATCGGCGAGAGTAGCCGTGTGCAGGCGGGGAGGAGCTGCAAACGGAGACGTGAAGTCGGACACTTTCTGGTTCCCGTAGTGACCGCTCACGTGGTGTTTGTATAGCCTACTTTAGCACAGCTGAAGTGAAATAAATGCAATATTTGCCAAATACACAGATGTTTCAGAGACATTTTCATTCAATACTTTATGTAGCCTACTGCTTCATACAGCGTTTGTTTGAACAAGAATAAAGTTCAACATAAGCCTACAGCTAGGCCTACTATCAATGAAGTGGAATCAACGTTTTTTAATCAGTTTTATTTTGATAAACATAACACAATAAATCGCGACTACATGAAAAGAGTGTTTACTGTTATTAAAAAACTGATTTGTGAGCTTTAGTGGAACTAAAGGTGTGAGAATAAACACGAAACGCACGTCATCGTTGTCATGCGGTGAATCCGGCCAATCGTGGAACAGCTGTGTCGTCATCACAGCTCGTGCAGCCCAGAGCAGCCGCTCTTCAGAAGCTGCGCTGGCTGAGTTCTCCGGCTACTCTCGAATCGCTCTCGCGGTACTTTGATGGCATACGTCACAGTCACGTGGCGTCGGCGCTGTATCAAGTCGGACAACATTTCTAACCGGCATGCACTGCTTCAAGTCTGCCGCCGATCGGTCTGCGCAGAGCTGCATGAAGTCGAACAAGCCTATAGACGCCCTATAGCTTGTTTTCATATGACGTCACGCCACTGCGTTGCCATGGCGCGAAATGCAAATGGAGGGCAGGAAGTGATTTGCTGTATTTAGAAAGCACTATAACAAACTCAAAATGCCTATGTTTTGCGTCGTTTATGGTTACTTAAATCGATCAAACCACGAGGAGTTTTTATCGTGTACCAAAAGTTGTTGTTCATAAGGGGGGAAATGCAAGAAAACCTCCGGAAAAACGGCTTGCAAACTGTAACTTACCTACGTCTGCGGTCGGGAGGAGCCGAATGGGAAAATGCCCGTGCAGTGATCACTTCGTCAAAGGTGAGTTAATACAACTTAAGTGGCTATGTTTGTGTAACGTGTAAGTTAACGTGTAACGTTTCCGAACTTTGTAAAGTCAAAGTATGTCTGTAAGACGAGGTAGTTGCTGATATCTACCGCCTCGATGGCAGGAAACTCTTTCAATTCAGTTGAAAATCGCTCCTCTTCATAACGTAAGGATCACGTCCAACATATGTTTGATTTTTTGTTTATATATTTCTCTTGTAATAGCGTGTAAAGTAGTACAGTACGGACTTTCCTCCATCTCGTCCATTGCGCTCTTTCTTCACTCCCTGCCCTCCATCTGAATTTCGCGCGTCATCATAATCACGTGACTGAAACCCAGCTATTGGCCGCTGGAGCGTACGTCAACGGCGCCGCCATGTTGGGGATGGCAACTTTCCGATACCTCTCATACAGGGAATTGAGAAAAATCCCTGTTTTGTGCGCTGTTTGGGGCTGTACACATCGCCACACAATTGAAAACAGCTTTCGAGGAATTACCTTTCACAAGCAAGACTGAACGTTTGTTTTTGGTTGTATTTGGTCATGATTTAATTAGTAATAGTAACGTTCAGAGGATACATTTAAAAATACTACTGTTATTGTGTCACGAAATGTAGTTTAAATAGTTTTTCAGTCGACAATGTAGTTGTTTAAAGCTCAAATATGTGGTTTGTTTATAAAGATAGCGCCTATTTAAAAATTTGATCTGACGTTTTCGGAGTTGTAAGATGCGCTCAGCGCTCGTCTACCCCGCCTGGAACAGCCGTCCCTCGGCCAGTGCTTTTGAAGTTTTGCCGCTGACTCGGATGTCTGTAGTCTAGTGGTTAAACAATTCGTCTTGTGTATATCTAACGGGCGATCTTTGGTCTCATTAATCTATAAATGGTTCCCTGGTAAATCGTTTTGGCTGAGGGCAAAGTGAAGTTTCATAACTATTTAGGCTATTTTAACGTTGTATCCTGCTGTATGTTTGACTGAAGCTACTTCTGTTATACTGATCAATAAAACTGAAATTTAACAAAAAGAGTTAAATATTAAAGTCACTATTTAACTTATTTTTTATTGTGTATATTCTGTAATTGATATTTCTTATTCTATTGCTATTATTATAGTATTATTAATAAACTATGCTATTATCAATATTTTTATGATTGTATTATTGCACTTATGATATTATATAATTATACTAATCATTACTATTTTATTTGCTGTATACTATTTGTTTATTTTATTTTATTGACTAAACTATTTACTATTACTTCTCACTTTATGTTATATTTACTATTTGCATTGCACTGTAGTTGTACCATAACGTATTATTATAAAGGATCCATCAGTTATCTTTGTTATTGCTAAAATCTGGTCAATCACAGAAAATGCTTTTTCCACAATAAGAAAACTTAAATTATATCTCAGTATGGGGGTCTTCACCATTCTTATCCAAGAATAAAAAGCCAGATACATGACAAGCCTGAGCTTTGACCATTCTTTATTAAAAAAAAAATATTTTACAAGTCTAACTATCGAGATTTTAAATAACTGGAGATGGAACTTTTTGTGCACCACATACAAACCAGTGAAATCGGTTGATAAATGTAAAAACAGTTTGTTTTTATCCAGAAAAAACGCAGCTCCCCCGTTTACTTACATTTGTTCACAGCGCAGTCTTGCCCTCCGCAAAATGGCGGACCCGTTGACGTATCGCAGCAACGTTCCAAAGCGGCCAATAGGGCGTCTATGTATTTATTATGTCTATAGGCTTGTTTGAGATGAGCAAAATCTGCGCAGAACCGATCACCGGTGATCAGCGCGAGATGCATGCCGGTTAGAAATGTGTCCGAGTGCGGTCCGCCTTGCTCTGATGTCATGCTGACGTGAGTCAAAAAAGTCTCGCGACCGCAAGGCGCACGTGTCGGATTCTGCAGTCGCGCGCAGTTGCTCTCCACCGACTGCGCTGATCAAAAGCATGATGGGAAACGACTTGCTGACGACACAGCTTAATGCTCATTGGTTTAAACAACCGTGATGTATTGTTCTCTTTTAAAATGTTTGATTTTAAAACTCTGATATCATGTTTTATGTGTATAGATTATGTGTGGATATCCCCAAACTCTCTGACAGTGCGATCTATGTGATGTAATTTAACACACAAAAAAAAACACACACAAAAAACACATAGGCCTATCTGTATTAAAGAAAAAAATGATTCATAAACATATAGGCCTATTTAAAATGGAATTAAATAAGTACTTTGGGTGTCTTGTTCATTATATTTATTTTCATATTCAAGCAACAAAACTTAAAATACATCCATTTATTAGCAACACCGTGCACGAGTGTGAATCCCGTGAATCCCGCGATATCCGCCTTTGATCTCACAGGTGTCAGATCCACTGCGAGAAGAGCGATCTGTCCGGCTTGCCTGCGCTTTTTTCACTCCTCCTCTCACTGCAGCCGCCTACTCTCGACTACATTTCAGGCGAGGCAAGGCGCATCTCAAACAAGCCTATTGTTTGGGTAGTTTCTATGGAGATGAACAATGACATCACAGCACATGTCTGACATGGAGGAGACTTTTAATTTATTCACCAACTTGGAGAAGAAAACTCAAGGTAAATATTGCTTGAAATGAAAATATTTTTATTGTATGTCATTTCCAAACATGGCGTAAGATCAATTGAGTTTGTAAATAAATAGATTTTTTAACATAAATAGATGTATTTTGCGTGCATGCAATGTTAGCTACCAATTCATAGCTAATCTGTAATACTAGCTTGGATTTTTTTCCAAAATACTGCAGGATTGTCATTTCCACCACCGTCATTTCCAACACATACCTTCTTGGGTGGAAATGACAAATGTGAGGTGGAAATGACATTTATGCTTACAAGGTGCAATTCATAGATTGTGGGGCTACATATGTATATTTTATTTATTGAAATGTACAATGCTAATGTATTTATTCAAATATATATTTGTTGAAATGCCTTTTCATCTATTTTTAAGATGCCGCAGAAGTCAACTGCAGAAAGGTCTCAGTCCTATACCAAAACAGAACCAAACAAACTAATGACTAATGAGATTAATGATTTGTTAAATGGAATTGTCTGTTTCAGAAAGTTTCAAATAAAAGTCTTCTGTTTTTCTACATGGACGTCCATTCATTGTCATTTCCACAACAACCAGTCATTTCCACCCCCTCATAACTTTTTAAAAAATATATACAAAATTCTAATCACTCATTAAAAACTTCAGCATAGTTTATGGGATAATGGTCCACTTAATGTAATAACACTAGTAGTTATTTTTTTAAAATGTATCTAACCAATCCAATATTATATTTCAAGTTGTGGTGGATGTAAGCTTTGTGTTTAGGCTTCATGACAATTAATTTACTTAATCCACAAATCTATGGTAATTGCAATATAGGTATAAACTGGTAATACTATGTGTGAAAGTGGTCTTACACTGTTAAGAAATGATCTATATCATAATATTTTAAAATAATAATCAAATATTTACATGTGATGGAAATGACATTTGTTCAGTGCGGATCGGAAAATATGTCAAAAAACACCAATTTGTCTTTTAATGTAAGTGCGTTCGCTTATGGATCATTAAACTAGACTAGTTATATTTAACTGTTAGACTGTAACAATTTTGATTTGAACACTTTTTTCCCCCTCAAGTTCACAAGGCCAAAAGTGCCTGTAGTTGAAGAACCACCCATGAATGTGTGAACGTACTACATAGGCTATGTCATGTTGTCATTGTCATATGAAGTGTCTATGGAATAATCTGTCTTCATAATCTCGCCGGAAATAGTAGGTCATCCTGGTACTTTTCTCCTACTGTTTTTCGAATATGTATTCAGACATAGGCTACTACTTTTTTGGCACATTGTTTTTCGCATACTTTGTAGTAGGGAAGTATTCGATTAGGGAAGTATTTCCAACACAGCGGCTGCGTCTGAAATCGCATACTCTCGTGAGTAGGTACTTAGTTATTTTGAATAAGTAAATACTTCACTTGACTTCACATAAAAAGTATGATCTCTATATAGTTTGAATGTGTGTAGTATGAATGTAATCTGGACGTACTACATTTGCCATGTTGTCATTATCATGTGACCTACCAGCGTCAGTAGTGTCACTTCACTGTCATTCACAAATCCTCTTCCGTGGCCTCATGGGATAGTAAAGTGTCCATCGTATGCATCCGGATACTTTTTGCCTACTCTTTTATGAGTACTGTTAAATGGGACATACTTAATTTGTCACATACTGTTTTTCGCCCACTATTTAGTAAGTAAGTATGCGATAATCATGTTTTCATGCCATCACATACTGTTTTACATCATTATGCAATGATGCCATCACGCAATGACATCATTAGCAATTTTTAGCAACAAACTGACCTGCCTCTAGCAACTTCTAAAAATTATTTGGCATCAGTGATCCCACCAGTTCACATTAAAATAACCGTCAATGTCTTGACTGTTACTGAGATGTAAAGGAAGAGTTCTAAAATGTTATAAATAGTTTTAGAAATGATATAAATCTAAATTTTGTTCAGTTGATGTGTGTGTGTGTGTGTGCGCGTACGTCTTATTAACCACTGTGTTGTCCACCCATTTCCACACTCCCTCAGTCTCAGCGTCTGATAAGCCGATCCAGAAATGGTAGTCAAATCCACCATGATTGCGTGCGACACCCTCAAGGGTGTGCTGTATTAAAAATAAAAATACATCAAGAGTATATAGCATATAATGAATAAATATATCACAGTGAATAAACATGATGCAAACATTATTTATTGAAATAAATGTTTTTAGAAGAGCATATAATCCATTGAAAAACACTGCCACACTTACATGTTGTTCGTGGCTGTGCAGTATTGTCAGATGGCCATCCATGGACGCGCAGCTCTCTTTGCTGTGCTGCCAGTCAAGTTTATCCTCACTAAAGAAATAACACCTCCCTTCTAAATGCATCCAGTCCTCTGGGCATGGCATACATTTGATCACTGCGGAAGAGAGATGTTAATGATTCTGAATGAAAACCCTTGGGCGTCAAATACCATTCCTGGATACACTTATTTTTGTCTCAGTCCTATATCATTTTTTCCTCACCCGGTTTTGAACAAGTCTGTCCAAGAGTTGTGTATTCTGAGCAGAGGCGGGAGAAACGCTCCTGCATGGTAGTAAGTTTCAGAGACAGAGACCCAGCCTCAGACTCATCACTCTTGACTGGCTCTACAGTGACTGATGATCTGCGACTGTTTACCACTGCAGGGACACAGAGACAGAGAGTTTATACCATCAAAAAAGTGAAGGCCAAGTATGGCAACCCATACTCAGAAATTTTCCTCTGCGTTTAACTCATTAGTTACAAGTTACTGGACACACATTAGGAGTAGTGAGTAGTGAAGCAGTGGGCAGCCATTTTTGCTGTGGCGCCTGGGAGTGATTGGGGGCACCTCAGTCATTCCTGGTATTGAGAATCAAACCTGCAACCTTCAGCTTACCAGTCTGACTCTCTAACCATTTGGGCACAACTGCCCCAGTATTTTAACCAGTAGTCGTGCAAATGCTTATCAGATTCCAAAATGTTTCCCTGTCTTAAAATAAACCACATTTAATTTGAAACCAGCCATTTATTATCATTACCTGATAGGGATATTTGGAATTGATATTATGAATATGTCCTAAAGCTGAATGCAAAACATTCAACAAAAATTCTATTCTATTCTATTCTATTCTATTCTATTCTATTCTATTCTATTCTATTCTATTCTATTATGTATGGATACATGATCCGCTTATTGGCCACTATTATATTTATTATCAGTAATGGTCAGTATTTTTAAATCCTCATTCTCTATATTTTTTAACATTATAAATAGTTTTGCCGCTTAAAGTTACACTATTAAGACTTTATTAATTTAATAACACTGTTGAATGTAATCTTCAGATAATCTCAAAATAAACATCCATTTTCTTGTATATATAATGTTCAAGATTATGCCTAAATTCAGTTTCACAGCATTTAAAATGAGGGTTTTTATTATTTTAATTAATTTTTATTTATTTAGACAAAATATTCTACAATATTAATCAGATAATATTTTGTTTATCAAATAATATTTCATCCATAATTCTACTCTATTCTATTCTATTCTATTTAGGAACACACACTATATCAGTATAATATTGGTTGTTGGCCAATATTATAGATTTGTATTTTATAGATTTCCCATAATTTTACATTTATATATACTTTAGAATCATCATTATCTCATTAAAGGTAATCTTTAAAAACTCTATTAATTTAATAACACATTTAAATCTAATCTTTAGCAAATCTCAAAATGAATATGTGATGCCTAAATTCACGCATTTGTTTGATTTAAGTTTTTACTGTTTGTAATTATTTAGACAAATTAGTAAAGAATATTAATACCAGCGTTTCAGTATCATCCAACATTTTGATATTGGTTCATCTCTAATTCTATTCTATTCTATTCTATTCTATTCTATTCTATTCTATTCTTTATGCAACCCAAAATGCACTTTGACATCACCAGAGAGGCAGATAGAGGCATGCTTACGTACGTGTAGCAGTGTGTTTACTTACAGAAAATGCCAAGTACTATGTTTGCACAAACTGAGGTCAATAGAGCAATGAGCAGGACAAGAGAAGCCTGTCCCCTCAAACACTTCGTCCCTTTCTGAACACCTGTTGAAGCACAAAATCATTGGTTATTACTCTGACTTGTCCCACATGTCTCTTTGTATTCCACTCTCCCCTCAAGTTCACATACAGTTCTCACATTATGAACCCACATACATTACCTTGTTTGCCCTGTGATGTGAGTATGGGTCTGTTCCCACTATGAGAGATGTCTTCTGTGAACTCTTGTAAACTGGTGTAATTTTCAATATCTTCCATCTTAAAACATAAAGTTCAGTAAATCTGTCGACCACCGTCTTCTTTATTTAATAGCTGAGCTTTTTAACTAATGTCTTTATCTTGTAGTCCTGTCCTCCAGATCACCAACAATGAACTAACAGTCCATGAAGAGGAGAGCAATCAAAGGAGAGCTTCCCTGGAAGAATTAAGAAGAGAAAGTTCTTCCTGAGTTTTCTCTGCTCAGACTTGTACGAACTGCTCCTTTTTACAGCTCTCTCGGCTCTAACTTTTCTCCCCTTTTCTCCCCCGCCCCCTTATATCTGTGGTCACGTGCCCATTTCAGGGCTGGAACACTGAGAATTAGAAGAGAGATGGTTATGCAATACTGAATTGTTTTCAATGAGTCAGTAGTAGATTGTTCTAGCCAAAAAGAACAGTTTGTTCATAATAGTGTAATAAGTTTTTTCCCCCAGATATATTCCTGTAAAATGTTTCATACTGAACAAGTTGCGAAATCCAGCTGTACACAAAACATCAAAACCAAGTTTGTATTTAATTTCAGATTATTTACTTTTGTGTGTACAATGGAGTCTTAAGGCTAAAAGCAACTTAATTATAAGTGAAACATATAATATTAATTCCCTTTTCTGGGAAATTGTGCTAATCTGACATCTAATTATTGAAGTTAGTACAGCCATACTTTTTAACTGGTCCGCACAAAGCAGTGCTTAACCTGAAGATGATATTTTGACGAATGTGGGTGACTAAAAAATTTAAAATACTATGGAAGTCATTAGGGAGCAGCAACTGTTTGGTTACCAACATTCTTTAAAATATCATCCTTTATGTTCACTTCAACTTCATTTTTGGGTGAATTAACCCTTTCATATAGCAAAATAGTTTTATGAACTTTTAAAAATGCTTCTTATATCTTTTGTTGTCATTCCATCGGTCAGTATTTTGGTGGAAATCCAAAACCGAAAAAATATGTAAGCTAAAATAAATCTGACCCAGACCACATTACATTTGGGTTTCTGTGGCTAGGGTTAAACACTATATCACTAAAGGTTTTGGCAAACTCTCTTGTGCTACTTTCAGAGACTGATGAGACATACAACTGATGTGAGGAAAAAAACAAGCCAAAAGCATGACTCAGCACTGTCACAAAATCATGACGCGAGCTTTTGGTCAATCCATGACTCGGAATTTATGCAAATTATTCTGGCCTGATTTAATATGACACTGCTGTTTTAATATTTAACTGACAGAGCTCTGTACTGATATGTTTTCTTCTCTGGATCAGAATATAGACATTTTAGTCCATAATGTATGTACTGTATATCTTCGTCAACATCACACTATTTTTCCTGTGGAGACAAATTTCTTTTTGCTAATCTGTCTCCATCTTTTTTTGTCTTCCTTTCTTTTAAAATCCAGTTTAACTGAGTTTAACTTTTCCAATGCGTGACTCAGCCATTCCTCAGATAGGAGTCGCTTTCCTACTTGAGATAAAAAGGACCTTCAGTGAGTAGAGAAAACCCCCGAATGAATACATTTCATGAGGGAGTATATACCCCTGACTCTTGTTTATACATTTGAATTTGACAGTAGATCAATTACAGCATCTCTGGTGTGGTGTTTTACATCGTTTTTCCTCCTTCTGTCAAAGAAAATTCAATTTCATTCCACTGCTGTGGAGAAATGAATAAATTCTGCTAAATGAATAAATGTAAATGTGAATGTAAAACTTCAGTTGTATTAGTTTATATTGACTTTTCCCTTGTGTATATTGCACCGTGTCCTGTATGCCTTCTCAGATTTTTCTGTCTCTTGCAGCTGTTCGTTTATCATAAAAAGGTTATTCTGCATGGCCTCGGCTGCATTCCTTTCCTGTCTCCAGCTGTTTCTTCACTTCCTGTTCCTGCTTTCTCAAAAAACGGCTGCATCTCTGAAAGCAATAATTATAATAATAATAATAATAATAATAATAATTTAAAAACATACAAACACTAACTGACTTTAGTATCACAAATCATTTTGAGATAGGCCCTAACTGTGCGGTGTAATTACATCACAATAAGATTTTTTAGTTTTTTTAGTTTTTTAACCCCAGTCATACTTAAATTGTTTATGCCATATTATTTTGTTCCCTGTTGTCTTTGGCAATAAATAAATAAATAAATAAGTAAATCCCAGTCCATCCTTCAGCACGTATAAGATAAAAAGACTCCAGCAGACTTCCTTAAAAATACAGTAATTGCCACTTAATGAGTTCAATTTAACAAGCTTTATAATGTCTTAAAAAGCAGTGAGTTGAAATAGTTTTTTTTTACCGAGATTCGTGTTCGAAGGTGTCACGATCCGTTCACGAAAAGTAGCCAATGCAGTGCTTTACCCCGGACTCAGTAGGGAGCGCGTTCTGGGGTGCTTCTCATTTCTTATTTGTGCATCCTCGTTTCCTTTCCTCGCTTCCTTTCCTCGCGTCTCAGCTCCACCCCCTGTAGGACGCGAGGGAAGGCTGCAAGGAAAAAAAAGAGGACGGAGGAATTGAATGAAAGCTTTTTTATACATTGGAATACTTGATCACTCGAGCGTCACTCCACTGCGTCATCAGCAGTGCTCAAAGGATCTGCCCTTATGTTGTTAAAGTTTGTTTATTTAAGAAATTCATTAGAAATAATAATAAAGCAAGATGCCTTGTTGAAATATGTGAGTTGTGTGGTTTATGTAAACTACAAAAGTAAAGTATAAATTCAAATGATTGTGACAGATGTGAAGGGGGAGGAGAATTGATACGTGCGTCATGTTTAGTCGATAAAACGTCTCCGGTTACTATCGTAACCTCGGTTCCCTGAGAGGCGGGAACGAGACATTACGTCATACTGACGTATATGGGAACTCCTCCCCTTCTCCATTTTCACTGAAATCTTATAGATTAACGCCAGCTGGAGACAGCTGGCCAATTGACGCAAAACATGCAAATGCTGACCGGTCCGCGGGCAGTATAAAAAGCATGGGCGCGACAATTACGTCAGAATCAAGACTGAACGCTAGCACAGCTGATCAAACGGCGAGCACGGCGGTTGACGTAATGTCTCGTTCCCGCCTCTCAGGGAACCGAGGTTACGATAGTAACCGGAGACGTTCCCTTTCAAGGCGGTCACTTCGACATTACGTCATACTGACGTATATGGGAACTGTATAGAATTCCGCCGTGAGCGCAGTGAAGATAAGCCCTGAACGGGGTCAAGCTACACTCCCACAGGAACAACAGTTCTAAGCCAGCAGCGCCGCTAGGAGCACTCAAAACTGATAGGCGAAATTAGACCAACGTCTGCTCCGGCTTACCAAGTTGCGCATCCACTGCAATGAGGCGAAGGCTGCACTGGACAGGGCAGCACAACACCATAAGCACTCGAGCACAAGAGCTAACACAGTGTCGACGGCATAGTGGTGACAGCTGCATAACCTTAAGCCACACACAGAGTTAACAGTACGTTGGAACTACTGCGTAATGTGGAAACAGCTATGTAACCTTATAGTCATAACCCAGAGTTAGCAGCAATGGTAACTCTGCAACACAGACTACTGCACAGCTGGTGGTAAGTTTCATGAGTACATTGATAAAAACTCACCGAACCCACGACGCTAAGGTGGTGCATCAAACTTGGAACCCTGGCGAATGTGTTCTGAGAAGACAGCCAGCATACCAAGTCTCTGTATAAAACAGCACGTCCCTAGTACCATCCACCAAGCACACAAACAGCTGGTAGACTGCTGCCTAGTGATCCACGTACATCCACAAATCCCTTACAGGGCCAACATCACTCTGAGCATCGGCATCATGCGAGGCTGAAACTCAGCAGATAAGGCGGGCAGGGATCAACCTGTGCTCCGAACGGCGTAAGCGACTTCGGAACGTAGCTTGGCATCGGACTGAGAGTGACGCTGCAGTCATCAGGTCCGAGACAATGCGACAACATTCACTAGAATGAGCGTAAGTCTCCAAGTGCTTCGCTGGGGCGAGAGCCGGTGGTAAGGCCATCTCAAGGAGAGCTCGTCTCAGCACTTGTCAGTGTGAAGTGTCTTGCTCAACTAAGGACCCAGCAGCGGACACACAAGAAGGTTCCACAGCTTGGGGCTGGGGTGCCACCTTGTAGAACATAGCCGATGTTCTATAGCCAACGTACAGAAGTGCAATCAACACATAACTGAATGTACATAAACACAGTGTCAGTGGCCGTAGCGACGACAACTGTGAATATACGCAATTAGAAAATAGCCCCATAATAGCATAGCACCTCAGTAAGCAAACAAACACAGTCATAACTGTAGCTACAACTGTGAAAATATGAGTTTGCACAGAATAACTAGTTGCCCTGATAGGAACGGGGCAATATAACAGCGTAGCACATGCACGTACAGCATAGGTCGCTGTAGCGCCAACTTAATACACGCAGTTAGCTCCGTATTAGGCTGAAAGGCAACACCGCTGCATGAACACACCCATTTGTAAATAAATGCAGCGCATGTCGCCGTATCGACGGAGACTGTGAATATGCACAGTCTGACTGGGATAGCTAGTTGCACTGAAATACAGGGCAACATGGCAGCATAACACAAGTGAGTAAGGAATAGCGCATCCTTGCATGTACATAACGCAGCGTAAGTCGCTGTAGCAACAGAGACTGTGTAGAGACAGAAACTAAGATGCATAGTTAGATTAGGATGGCTAGCAGCACTGAAGGAAACAGGGCAGCATTACAGCATAACACATCCGATTACGTACATACATCCAGAACTGTGAATATGCACGGTTAGATTAGGATAGCTAGTTTTGCACTGAAGGAAACAGGGCAACAAAATAGCAAAAACACGTCCTTGTACGTGCCGTGTAGTCGCCATAGCGACAGAACTGAATATGCAGTTAGATAGGATAGCTGGATGTTGCACTGAGGATAGAGGGCAACATAACAGCATTACCCATCAGTGTGCACATATCAAGCATCTGAGTGTATAATGCGGTGCAAGTCGACGAAGCGACCGAGACTGCATGAATATGCACAGTTCACATAATGGTCAGTTACGTTCGCAACATAACTGCATAACGCTTCAGTGTGGACACAGATGCAGCGCAAGTCGCCGTAGCGACAAACTGTGACTATGCACAGTTAGATAGGATAGCTAGGTGCACTGAAGGATACAGGGCAACGCGTTAGCATAGTCACATTAGTGTGTACAAAAACACAGCGTCAGAGGCATCGCGACATCGACTGT